GCTATTTCTGCAGCACTTGAACATTTGTAAGACACAACTGATGTAATTCAGACATGAAACTGGCCCTGCACATTTCCTTATGCAGTTGTCCCTGTGCTTATTCCCAAGTTGCAGTAAAAGCATTCTCCTTTCCCAGCCCATTCCTTGGTGTCTACATATCTGTTTTTTGCTGGAGTGAAGCCCAAACAGCTTCAGCTACAGACATATTTCATAGCTAAGACACAGCACTGATTTAGTTCATAACCTGTTTTGTTAGTATGCCATAGAAGGGGTTATTCAAATTGTAGCTGCTCAGAAATGGTCATTTGTGACCAAGGAATGATCTGGCATGGAGAGCAAGAAGGGTTTACCCTGGCTGGAAACAGGGATGCCAGAGATAGGACTTCCCCCCTTAGGGAGTGAAGTTTCACTGGGTGACATGATAAGAAATGTCACAGCACTGTCTTGTAGCAATGTGCACTGGGAGCACCCAGGGACCACCTTTGGGCAGCAGAGCTGGTGCTGGGGGATGAACCATGGGGCTGAAGGGCCCCATGCCTACGATCGCATGATGGGTACAGGTGCAAGTGTAAGGAAAGGAGCTGGCCTGTGCCACATCTCTGCACAGTACTTGTAGAACTACTTTACGGTGATAGGACTTCACTCAATACATTGTTCATTAAAACTTTTTTGTATTTAAGCACAAACATGTGTTTAATTCACCTCAAGGGGTTCAACAAAAATTTCCCAAACAAAAAGATCCTCTGCTACCACTTAGTTTCCTGTTGAAAGTACTAATTTACATGAATTGAGGAGTTCATCTTAGGTTTTTTTAATGTAGTAAGATTAAAGGAAGAGAAGCAGAGTAAGCACATGTAAAGTTAGTTCTGCCTAAACAGTTCATGGACAATCTTATACAATAAATGCAGTATTTTAGGCTTCAGAGTCTGCCCCCCCACCCTCCAAATAGTAACACTAAAGTGCTAAACAGCTGTGAGGAACTGACTTTATTAGCCTTATCTGTAACAGATAATGTTCCTCTATACCTTTCTCACTATCAGAAGCTAGGAAAGTAGAAAAAAGGTTAGGGAATAATATCACCACTTGTAAATATCCAGATCTCAGGATCCGTTCTCTCCTGGCAACTGTTTAGATACCATCAATTCAAAAAAGCTGCAGTCAGCAGCTCAGTGTCCGACTGGAGAGCAGTGACAATGGGCGTTCCTCAGGGGTCGGTGTTGGGACCAGCACTGTTTAACGTCTTTGTTGGTGACATGGGCCGTGGGACTGAGTGCATCCTCAGCAAGTTTGCCAACAACACCAAGCTGTGTGGTGCGGCTGACACGCCAAAGGGAAGGGATGCCATCCAGAGGGACCTGGACAGGCTGGAGAGCTAGAACCGTGCAAACTTCATGAGCTTCAACAAAGCTAAGTGCAAGGTCCTGCACGCGGGTCAGGGCAATCCCAAGCACAAATACAGACTGAGTGATGAGTGGATTGAGAGCAGCCCTGCAGGGAAGGAATTGGGGGTGTTAGGGGAAGATAAACTGATTATGAGCCAGCAATGTGTGCTTGCAGCCCAGAAAGCCAACTGTGTCCTGGGCTTTCCTTGACAGCAGATATCCATGCTGTGCTAATGTCACCCTTGCTGTGGAAGTACAGCCAACTCCTCTGCAACTACCAGAACTATGCTTTTGCATCCGGACAACTACAGACGGCTACACAATTTTACAGGCTCTATGAGTGGGCTTGTGGGATGAAAGTACCGACTTTCTTACTAGCTGTGTCTTACACTGAAATGATGCCCTGGTCAGCTTCTCTTTTTCATGTAAAGACACCATTACTACTTGCTCCACCCTACTTCTGCATGATTAGAGCTCAAGAGACAGTGGAAGAGAAGATACTTGAAATGAGCATCCTTCCTTTGTTAATTTACGTTCAACTTCCCAAATCAAGCAATTTTTAAGCAGCTTAAGAGTTTGGTTTTTTGTTCCATTTCACATCAGTTTGGATATTTTTCTTCGTTTTTGCTCTTTCCCCTTATTTTTTGGTAGCTTCTATTTGTTGGGGTTATTTCATTTATTTTGGTGGGATGATTTTATTGTGTGTGATTTTTTAGGGGGTGTGGTTTTTTTCCTAATAGTTGTCTGCAGGACAAGTTTCTTTACTGCTGGTTTTGTTTCTGTTCTGGCTTGTTTGTGGGATCTCTATTTATTTATTTAGGTGGTGATTGCCTTTGTAGGGATTTTTGGCTTGTTTTTTTTTGCAGCATTTTTCTTAACAGTTTTCTGAGGCTGTTAATTTATTTGTTTTATTGGATTTTTAAGGTCCTTGTCCACTCATCAGGGACAGATGCAAAATCCTGCTCCTGGGACAGAATAATTTTATGATTAAAGGTTTTGCCTAATGTCACATAATGATCCTGCCAACTAGTGCATTTACATTATATTTTGATATTCCTTTTTTTAAGTGTAATCTGAATTTGCTTTGACAAATGCTTGGTTTTTCATCTTTTGCATCATGTCCCATCTTTATGTTCATTAAAATTATTTCAAAACACTGTCTATACTTCTGAGATTGGAATGAAATTCTGCTTAATCTATTTTTAAACATCCTTTATTGTGTTGTCTTAATCTATAGAACTGTATTGCCAGTGAAACGTGCTGTTATAAATCATTACATAAACATGAAAACTGTTTTCAATGCATTACACTGAAACATTTCCCAGTAACAGGGTAAGGATTTTATTTGGCAGATTCAGGAGAAAATAGAAGAGCCAAAATCTTGACATTTGTAGAACGGAGAACCCCGACTTCCCCCTTCACAGCAAGGTGATATTGCCCAGAGCTCCCCTTTTTCTTAGATAAAACCCCATAACCAAATCAATCACGTAACAAAGGTACTGCTGAAAATTAATAAGGTAATCCGTAGCATGCCCCAGAAGTCCATTCCCACTCAGATAGGGCTCCTATATGCTTGGGTTCAAGAAGAGGGGTGGTGGAGGAGGCCAGGAGAGCTTGCAGCTGCAGTCCCCTGCGGTGGCTATCACGACACTCCCTGCCACACGCCTGTAGCCAGAGCTCAGAGACAAGCCCTCTGAGTCACTGCTAGACAAGGAAGTAGGAGGAAGGGCTGGCTCTAATGAACACTGTGACTGCTGCTCTGTCAGAGCCACGGACTAGAGAAAAGGCAGTTTGGAAGCCACCAAAAGCACCAGGAACTGAAAGCAGCTGATTGAGGCAGCAGGCAAAACCAGAGGGAGTGAGAAATAAGGGCTCATCCTGCATCAGATTTGTAAAGCCCCTGACTGGACAAAGCAAGCTGATTTTTCTTAACCACTTAGAGCCTATAAAAACACAAAGAACGAGGGCAGGAGAGCAAAGACAGCAGAAGAGGGAGCATCCTGACCCAGTAACATCGAGAAAAGACTGCAAGGACCTGAAGCAGTGCATAACACTGGTAAATCCCACCGTGAGCCACTTTGCTTTCTTGTCGCCCACGTTCAGCAACCTCAGCCATACCCTGCCGCCTCTGACAGCAAAGGCACAGCCCAGATGACAGTGGCACAGCTTGCCACTCTGGCTGGGATCGAAAGTTTCGCTGTGAGGTGGAAAAAACACTCCTCCTCCTGTGGAGGGGACCTTCACCCACTTGCTTTTTGCCTTAATGGATGAGGAGGCTGAAGGGGTCCCCCGGGCAGTGTGGAGCCACCATCCCTGGCGGGCAGCCCCGGAGGAGCGGGGCGCAGCAGCTTGCCCGCTCTCCACTCGACCCCTCTGCTTTCACCCCATGTGTGAGTGAGCTGACTCACTGAGCAGACCTTTCGGGGGAGAAATGTGGAGTTGTTGCTCATGGACAATATTTCCAAGCACCTCTGCCATTTGCCCCTGCCACCCCACTGTGCAGTATAGCCAAGCGAGGAGGCGGCCAGCTGTGCTCGTGAGGAGTTTCATCCGCTAAACGACAGGAGGAGCGTTCGTTGGCAAATAAGGAAATGAAAGCAAAACAACCAAAGCATTGCGTTAGTATTTCCAGAGCTATTATAAAGCAAGACCTTCTCATGTAAGAATTGGTTTCATTTCTCCTGATTCTTGTCAGAGTGTGTAGGTGGAGCCTGTAAATAAAAAAGCACCAGAAGAAGTTGAAAAGACACTGCTTCTCCTTGCTACAGGATACTACACAGGTAGAAGTTTCTCTTTTCCTTCTTCTAAAAATATCATGCAATTTTTTACTGTTATCTTCATTCTTTTTAATAGTTACATGTGAGAAGGCTGCATAAGAGTCTATAAGTAAGTGTGGTCAAACAAGGTTTCCAGGAGTAGGATTTGTTGTTTTCTGGTATGGGGGAAAAGAAAAGACATTAGTATTATTTCTTCTTTAAAAGGAGATGACTGAGAGACGGCATTTAAATTGGAATGCTTTTTTTTTTAAAGTGTGTACTGTGTGGGGGCAGTGTTCAGCAACATAGTCTAGCTAGCAGTATTAATATGTAACATCATTTTGCATTGCATTGCTACATTTTTTTTCTGATAATACAGCTAGAACTAATAAATGTACAACCCAGAGACTGTGTAATTTACCCAAATATCTTGAAGCACAGGATATGTCAGGCAGAAGCCCATGCACTCCTCTAGCTGGACACGGAGTAAATAAATGCAAGAGCTTGCGTGGGTTCAGCACCACGGCTTTGCACTTTGGGTTTGATAACAGATTTTGTTACTGTCCCTCGAGACACAAAGCCAGGATCATTAGAGAAAAACAAGGCAATTCCTCTTCAGGACCATCAGCAGGTTGGTGCTTCACTTAGATGTGGTTGTGTAGTGCAGTGTTTTGTGATGTGCCAGGGGAGGTTTCCAACACACAGGCAAGTAGATGTCTGAAGGTAAGGTTCGAGGAAACTAATAGTGTCCCATTGATGGAAGCAGGCACAGCTCTGGCTGGGGGGGGGGGGTGTGTTACCAGACTTTCAGTATCAGCACGTCATCCAGGGTGTCACGTTTCTCATGTGGATTCCTGCCAGTTTCACAAAGGCACTTAAAAATTGCAGCTCTTTTTTTCCTCTCCTTTCTTTCTTTCATCCAACGTTGTCAAGGCTCAGTACACAAAGGAATCACTATGCCTGCACAACACAGTGAAGTGTTGCACCGACCTATCTAACCTTTTTCAGGTCCAGGTGGAGAACAGCCAGGTAGCTCCAGAAATCCATGCATGCTGATTCACTCTGCTGCTTACTGTAGGTATCTCTGTTAGCCTGTGTATCTGTGTGTGCATGCTGTGATCTGCACTGTAAACCTAGCTAAAAAACCTTCTAGATATGTGGTAAGATATAGTCCTTGCACTAAAAAAAATATTTCAAAGTTGTCACTTTTTTTGTCAGACTCCTTAAGTCTCAGTTTTCCAGATGTCACAAGTTTATCTTACAAGATCTTTCATTGTCTTTTTGTTTTTCCTGGTGGCCTTACTACACTATTTTTGCATTTCATCCTATTCATTATAAGGGTGGCTAAAGCTTGCTGTATAACCTCTTTCTGAAGGAAACACATCCGTGTTTAGGAGGCCATATGCTAAAACCAGTACATTAATAACTCTGAACACAGCCCAATGAATATAAATAATAATGTAAAAGGGACAGAAAATTGTTCCTGTGTAATATTTACATTAAATTAAAAATTTATAGGAAGTGTTTATTCCATTAAATTGAAAGTCATGCAGAGAATAGGAGAGGCACTTAAAGGGATTACTGGTAGAAACATTATTATCAGTAAATTATTTCCTATATCAATAGAAAATCACAAAAGAATCTGGAGGTTAGTGAATGGGGAATGTATGTTTGTGCAGTACATTGCACAGGTAAAGCACTGTGTCTTCATTCAAGGAAGAAGAATCTTATAATTCATTAACAGAAAGAGAACAAAGTTCATACTGAAATATTAAAAAAAGGTATGTGTGGAGAAAGATGAAGGAACAATAAAATGAATGCCTTTAAATAAATTGAAGTAATTCAGTCATCTTTTATTGCTGGTCAAAAATGAGAAATTTTCTCATAGTAATTTTTTTTTTTTGATAAAAAGGAGATAGAATATTTAAAAAAAAAAAAACAAAAACAAAAACAAAACAAAACAAAAAAAAACTATTGCTTTATTAAAAAGAAAGACTGAATAGCAAATGTGGAATTAATATTTTTTTTCTAAACTTCTTTTACACATTGAAAATATAACTTACGTTGTGTCTAATCATCCTGCTTTGACATCTGCTCAAATTAGAAAACCTGTAAACTTAATTCAATCGAAAAATCAAAAGAACAGGAAATTAATGAGGAGCTCCCGAACAAACTCAAACACAGAAAGGATGCCTACAGAGGGTGGAAGCAAGAACCTGGGAGGCATACAGAAAATTGTCCGAGCAGCCAGGGATCAGATTAAGAAGGCCAAACCCCTGATAGACTTAAATCTGGCCAGGGACATCAAGGGCAACAAGAAAATTTTCTGTAGCTATATCAGTGATAAAAGGAAGATTAGGGAAAATGTGGGCCCTATCCAGAAGGAAACAGGAGGCCTGAGAAGGAAAAGGCTGAGTTATTCAATGACTTTTTTGCCTCGGTCTTCACCAGCAAGTGCTCCAGTCACACCACCCAAGTCTCAGAAGGCAAAAGCAGGGAGTGGGAGAATGAAGAACTGGCCACTATAGGATAAGATCAGGTTCAAGACCATCTAAGGAACCTGAAGGTGCACAAGTCCATGGAACCTGATGAGATGCATCTGTAGGTCCTGAGGGAACTGGCAGATGAAGTGACTAAGCCACAATCCATCATAGTTGAGAAGTTGTGGCAGTACAGTGAAGTTCCCACTGACTGGAAAAGGGGAAACATAACCCCCATTTGTAAAAAGGGAAACAAGGAAGACCCAGGGAACTACAGGCTTGTCAGTCTCACCTCTGTGCCCAGCAAGATCATGAAGCAGAACCTCCTGGAAACTGTGCTAGGGCACATAGAAAAAGAGGTGTTTGTGACAGCCAACGTGGCTTCACTAAGGCCAAATCATGCCTGAAAAATTTGGTGGCCTTCTACAACAGGTTTACAGTGTTGGTGGATAAGGGAAAAACAACTGACATATCTACCTGGACTTATGCAAATCTTTCGACGCTGTCCCACAGAACGTCCTTGTCTCTAAATTGGAGAGACATGGATTTGACAGATGGACCACTCAGTGTATAGGGAATTAGCTAGACAGTCGCACGCAAAAGACTGGAAGTCAATGGCTCAATGTCCAAGTGGAGAGCAGTGACAAGTGGCATTCCTCAGAGGCCAGTGTTGGGACCAACGGTGTTTAACGTATTTGTTGGCCACATGGGCTGTGGGACTGAGTGCACCCTCAACAAGTTTGCCAATGACTCCAAGATGTGTGGTGTGGTTGACACGCCAAAGGGAAGGGATGCCATCCAGAGGGACCTGGACAGGCTGGAGAGCTGGACCCATGCAAACTTCATGAGCTTCAACAAAGCTAAGCGCAAGGTCCTGCACGTGGGTCAGGGCAATCCCATGCACAAATACAGACTGAGTGATGAGTGAAATGAGAGCAGCCCTGCAGGGAAGGATTTGGGTATATTGGTGGATGGAAAACTGTGAGCAAGCAATGTGTGCTTGCAGCCCAGAAATCCGCATCAAGAGAAGTGTGGCCAGCAGGTTGTGGGAGGGGATTCTGCCCCTCTTCTCTGCTCTTGTGAGACCCCACCTGCAGTGCTGGGTCCAGCTCTGGGGCCCACATAAGAAGAACATGGACCTGCTTGAGCAGGTCCAGAGGAGACCATGAAGATGATCAGGGGCCTAGAGCACCTCTGTTATGAGGACAGGCTGAGAGAGTTGGGGTTGTTCAGTATGGAGAAGAGAAGGCTCCAGGGAGACCTTATAGAAGCCTCCCAGTACTTAAAGGGGGCCTACAAGAAGGATGGGGAGGGACTCTTTATCAGGGAGTGTAGGGATAGGGCAAGGGGTAACAGTTTTAAACTGAAGGAGAATAGATTCAGATTAGATATTCAGAAGAAATTCTTTACTGTGAGAGTGGTGAGACACTGGCACAGGGTGCCCAGAGAAGCTGTGGCTGCCCCCTCCCTGGCAGGGTTCAAGGCCAGGTTGGACGGGGCTGGGAGCAACCTGGGCTGGTGTAAGATGTCTCTGTCCATGGCAGCAGGGTTTCAACTAGATGGTCTTTAAGGTCTATTACAACCCAAACCATTCTTTCATTCTGTGATTTCAAGCAAAAATATGTTTATCCCAGTTATTTTTCCCACTTGTTTGAGTTAAACAGATTTTGGGTTTGGCAGCGGAAGGTTAAAATTCTAGCTTTGAAAAAATATTGTTGGGGGTTTTTTTCTTTAAATCATTGTTTCCAGAAATCACTTTCCCTGAAAAATGTCACATCAAAGCCTCCATTTTCTTCAGTCAGCCACAGAAAATATCTCAACAAAACTTCTACATAAAAAAAGTTGAACAGAAAAATAGTCTTCTAGTTCTCCCTTCTCTAACATCATGTCAGGCAAAGTCTGCTTTTTGGAGAGGGTTTTAAGCTATCAAGGATGTGACTGGTATACTGAGCTTCTAAAATAGGTGTAAGTCTTGTCCCTGACAGGTGTTTCTGCTGCAAGAGAGGTGAGTTGGCTGCATAGCAAACTATGGCTTGGTGTGTTCCACTCTCATTCCCGGTGGGCCACTCGTAGTCTCTTCTTGTGCAGCCACACAGCCTTGTAATCCTGACCCCATATGACTGAAGTTAAGCATTTGCACTCTCTTTCCAACCATGCCCATCAGCTACTGTACTGACTGAGCTTCTCAAAACACCTTTCAGCAAAATATGTCATTGATGAAAACTGGCTTTTTGTAAAAACTGTTGTAATTCTTTTTTTTTTAAAGAAAAAAAAAATTCTTTACTCTGCATCAACTTCAGGTTTTTGAAAACACAAAGCATAAGAGAGGCAGGAAGAAGTGTTTCAAGTCTATCTTCTGGAGGGAAACTTCAGTGATTTGAAAAGAACTCTGCCACTTGATACCTACTGAGAGTTCAAATCAGGAAATAAGAGTGGTGTTTGATTTTCTCTGCTATGATCACTGTTGCAAGCTCGAGTCACTCAGTGTCCCATGATTAATTTCAGAAGCTGTTTGAAAGAGCGGTTGGACCAGCAGTAATCACTGTTTAGTGAAGCATTTATAGACAACCTACGTGGTAGGCCAAAAAATCGGCAGGCCATGGATAATAAGAATGTATCAGTCAAACAACATTCTAAAAGAACCAAATCTGCCCTGAAGAAAGATGGTTTTGCATCACCTTCCTTACAAGCATCTTTAGAAGCTTTTGCAGTACCTCTCCCACCAGACTTAGAAAATGAAGATCTGATGTCGGAGAACACGATTGAGAGAAAGACTAACTATGAGCAGGAGGACTTGAAGGAACAGTACGACAGAGAACAAGACAAGGTAAGGCAGAAACCAGAAGAGGGCACAGATCCTCCCCACTCTTACTCCTATGTTTCACTTTGTGGCCCAAAATGAATTCCTTTGTCTCTGGGCAATCTGCACTTGTTAGGTCTAAGTGGAGGAGTACTTTTGGGATCAGGGCCAAGCAGTCATTTGTATAACTAGGAAGACAGGTACCTGCAATTAAGCTGAAGGCATAAAAAATGCAAGCCTGAAAAATAGGATGGCAGCATTTTAGCAGCCAATCTAATGTGCAAAGTGTATCTGTTTCATTGCTAACAACTAGTTAAACAGAAAGCCTAAATTCTAAGATATTCTTTACTTGAGGCTCTGCTATCTTCAACAGAAATACAAAAAGGTTAGTAATAACCTGTGTTGACTATTTGACACTGAAAACAGATTGGTTTTAAGTCTGTGACATAGTCAATGAAGTTGCTTGAGAATGGTTAGAATTTACTAGTTAGTAAACAACATAATGAAGATAGTGGAGAAGGGTTACTGATAAGGTTTTAAAATATCTGCCTCCAGTAATGTGCTCTGTCTTTCTCATCTTGAAAGGGAAATTTGCTGTTTGATCACATTTGACTGATAGACATATTTTCAGAGGTGGCTTTCTTAGACAAAGGTGATGGTAGGAAACTTCAATTTTTCTTTTCAAAAAATCAGGATGAATGTGCCTGGCCCTTTAGGGTCTGTAAAATATTGATGTTCTCAAAATTGCATTTCTAAATGCAGCAATCAGACTGGAACGTGGAGAGAGAAATAGGGAGTAGAGACCAAGCTTATCTTTATACACTTCAGCTGGGCATATTTAACATCAGGTGGACCAGTTTTTTAAAGGGCTGGAAATTCTTCAGTTTGTTTTCATGAAAATTAAGAGCCTGTGTTAATATGTGACACATATATAAAAACCAGAAGAAGACAATAAAACATTTAAAACAAATCACTCATATTCATCCCTTTCCTTAGCCTAAAATGAAGCAAAGAAAGAGGAGACATGATAATCTAAAAGATTTTAGCCACCTATTAAGGACGCTCCAGCAGAATGCTTTTGGTGTCTGCTAGAAAAACTAAGTCTTGAAAACCAAGACTTAATAAGCTATTCTGTACTAAATTCTGTTATTACTAGGACTAGACTTCATGTGCATACATATACTTCCATAAATCTGTGGATGAGTGGAAGAAAATTACAGGTGTTAAAAAAAATAAATTAACAAAGCACACTGAGTAATGAGGTCTTCTTTTATTCTTCACTTTCTCAGGATAGCCTACAAAGTTTGGTACTTTTACTAAGGATGGTCATTGAGCCAACTTCAACTGATTTTGTCATATTTACATACACCTGTTTATAACATGGAGGTGCAAGGATGCACAGTGACAGTGCAGCTTCATGCCAGCAAATAAGGTTTACTAGAGAACAATGAACTGGAAAAGATAGCTAAAAGGGTTTTTTTGTGGAAACAACTTATTTTAAAATTAAGGGAAATTCACTGTAAGTTTAACTCTAACAGGGAGCAGAACATACCTTGTACAACCAATATGAGGAAAAGATCCGACCCTGCCTTGATCTTGTCGACAGCCTAAGAGCTCTTGGAATAGAAAAAGACCTGGCTTTGCCTGCGATCGCAGTGATTGGAGACCAGAGCTCTGGGAAAAGCTCTGTCCTAGAAGCCCTGTCTGGTATTGCTCTTCCTAGGGGCAATGGTAAGAATTCACCTTCTCAGATTTTCACCCGAATTTCAGATTGATGAGGTGGAAGGGTTTTCTCCCCTTCCCTCCCCTTCCCTTCCCTCCCCTTCCCTTCCCTCCCCTCCCCTCCCCTCCCCTCCTCTTCCTCTCCTCTTCCTCTCCTCTTCCTCTCCTCTTCCTCTCCTCTTCCTCTCCTCTTCCTCTCCTCTCCAAGAAGCTGTGGCTGCCCCCTCCCAGGAAGTGTTCAAGGCCAGGTTGGACGGGGCTTTGAGCAACCTGGTCTAGTGGGAGGTGTCCCTGCCCATGGCAGGGAGGTTGGAACTAGATGATCATTAAGGTCCCTTCCAACCTAAACCATTCTACGATTCTACATAAGTTCTGCAAGTTCTGTATGAGTTGACAATACCATCTAGTGTTTCAGGATGGACTTGAGGAAAAGGTTTTCATAGGATGTATGTGCAGCACTGAAACAGGTTAATCAAAGAGGTATGAATCTCCATCCTTGGAGGTTTTCAAAACAAGACATGGCTGGACAGAACCATGGCTGACCTCATCTAGTGTCAGTGACAGTCCTACTATGAGCAGAAAGTTGGATGAGAGCCCTTTGGCAATGTCTCTTGGAACATTTCTGTGTCTCTGTGCAAAGTATTAGGCAACCCTTTGTATGCCACACAGTCCATGGCTGTGTATCATGCATAACAGCTGCTGAGAGAGTTACTTCTGTCTTTGGAACTGCTGCAGGTATTGTTACTCGATGCCCGTTGGAACTCAAACTGAGAAGAATACCTGCCACCAAGGCATGGAAAGGGAAAATATGTTACCGCAACACCAGCACAGAGCTCCAGAATGCCTCTGAGGTGGAGAAAGCAATAAGACAAGGTGAGTTGTGACACATTCCCCTCTTATTTCTCTTGTTCAATCTCCTCTGAATCCTTTCTACCCTTTTCTTAGGCTGAGCAGCAGTCCCCAGACTAATGCAATAATTGTAGCTATGAGTAACACCAAGTGTTGAATTCAGCACAGAAGATGGTGGGATAGCATAATATAACTCTCTCAAGAGACTTGTACTATGTACTACTTCAGTGGTGGTGATGATCCATGATATCCAAAAAAAGCTCAGGCTCTATCCTCAGCTGGATGCTGTCTGCCTGGTTTGGGGAGGTTGTTTGTCAAATTATAAACATGCAAAGCCCTAAATATTTCCTGTCATCAGTTTAAAAGCTCAGAGAATGTCTGAGGTGTCTGTGGCTGGAAATTTTATGATTTTTGAGAAAATTGCAAGAAGGCAGAGTGGAGGGCATATAGAACTTCTTCCAGCTAGTGTGCACACAGCCTCAATCATTGTCCTTCCCATGTCACAGCTTTACTTTTATGGTATTTCATGCTGTGTAAAGAAACATTTTTCCTATCCAAAGGGCAGTAAGTACTTGCCCTAAATGTGAAAGTTGGATCATCCTTATTTCCTTGACTAGCACAGTTCTACAACATTGTTATTTGTCCTAATGCTTTTTTTTTTTCCATTAGATTTTCAATATATTATTTGGGTATTTTCAATATATCCTTCCAAAACTGGCAAGGCAAGTGGTATGAATTGATTAAGATAATGACAGAGCCGAAAATCTCTCATGAGAATGACTATGGGGTTTACTTGTTTCTCTGTGCTGTTCACTGTTCAAGCATTATTGCCTTACAAGATCTGGGACAAAATACTTGATCTCTCAACGTCTCTATCAAAATGTTAAGAATATAGAATAACACCTATTTATCTTTCAAGGCAGCCAAGGATTAATTAATGCCTACAAAATGTCTTGATGTTGAGAAAGCATTTCTACAACTGACCAGTACTTTATCTGGTGGTCACTTTTGTTGTGGTTTATTTACATGTATTTTGTCTGCATATATGAAAGTTCATAAGTATGTACTCTGTAAAATATTACAGTTCACATTCCGAAAGGACTCCCTGTATCCACAGATTACATAATAATTTCCTTAGACTTTTGCGTAAATGGATTTACTTGCGTGACTGGATCTGAAAAAATCCAACCCTAAAAGAACCTTAGGTGGTAGTAGGTACTTTTCAAAGCCATTGTGTTCAGCTTCACTTTGATGCATTGTTTGAAACTTGTATTCATTGCCTTGCTCTTTTCTTCTTGCAGCCCAGGATGTTGTGGCTGGTACTAGAGGTGCCATCAGTGGAGAACTAATTTCCCTAGAAATTTGGTCTCCAGATGTCCCAGATCTGACACTAATTGATCTTCCCGGAATTGCCAGAGTGGCTGTAGGGGATCAGCCAAAAGACATTGGGGAACAGGTAAAACTTAGTTTCATATGCCAATCTGTGCACAGGGTCACTTCTGTAACATACCTCATATGTCAGCCTTTTCTGTAGGATGCTGGAGTTATTATGCTGGGCTTCTGAACCAGCAAAAGAGCTATGCTGACAAACAGGCCTATTTTCAGGCAAAGAATTGCCGATCAGAATAATGTGGTTCAGGATCTCCTGTCTGCCCTCTGTCCTCATGCAGGAGGGAGCTGCCCATGCTAGCCGTGAAGGAGCCACCTCAGGTGCCTTGACACAGCCTACCCATGGCAGCATGGAATAACCCGGCCGTGTGGACCCTGAACACAGTGCCAACCCCTTGTCCCTCGGCTAGACAGCAGTCTGGAAGAGAGATATATCCCCAAATTAGTTGTCTCTTACCACCTATCTGGGTGTATTTGGCAAAGGTGAATAGGTCCAAGTTCTTGTAAGATCTTCTGGAGCAAGGTGACACATTGGCCTTCTTACAGGTTCGTTGCTCTGCCACCCCCTTACTTCCAGAGCACATCAGAATCAGAGCCGTCCTGGTATTTCTCATCCCTTAAGGGATCCCAGCAGACCTTTTTTGAAGTAAACAGAATATGTGTTAAAGTGGAGGGGATCTCTATGTTTCTTCAGGCTGCTTTTAAAAGCAATGTTGAGGAATACAGATAAAACTCTAATTGGACAAGGCCAGCTGTGAAGGTGATGTGCAGAAGCTGGGTGTATTGTTCCTCCTAAAATACCTTTAAATAGGAATGTGGAATAAGAGTAGCCAAAACTAAACTAGACATATCAACAAAAATAAGACAAGATTGGATTGTCCAGGCTTTACTGTCTGGGTGAAGAGTAATTTTATTTCACAATTAGACAGTAGTCTTTCTATTGTATTCAGAAGAAAGCAGCAGGCGTAACATGATCCACACATTTCCATCATCCCCAGCTGCCTGCATGCTTCAGAGGTGGAGGCTATAGCATTGTAGCATGCCAGAAATTGGGATGGATGGGAAATAGAAAAGAGAGGAACCTTTATCAAAATTAAGAAAAAAGTTAACTTACTTTGGTATAAGCACAATAGAGCTCTGTGAACCTTTTGTAATACAACATAAACTATGAGAAAGTCTTTTAATTTGGCGTTGAAACATAGAAACAATGCCAATTAGATGTCATGTGCAACTTGGGTTTTTTTCACAAACACTCCACTGAAATATAAGCCAAAGACATTTGCTCTCCTTTCAGAGATACAAATTTGAGATTTATCAGCATAATCTGGCTTTCTTTCTTTATGTAAGTGTGCACCTAGACAGCAGAACTTGTTTTTCTTATGTGTGATTATTTATGAAATATTTTTAATGTTTCCATAATGAAATATTATATGCATGAGACATTAAACATTACATAGCTTTCATGACAGGAAAAACAATAGTCTGGCCTCATTCATGCTAGATGTATGGATTAATCTTGACATAGGAAAAGAGGCTGCATACTTCCACTGACCCATTGCCAAGCCATCCTTTAGCATGTAATGCTATTCTCATTATATGTAACATTTAATGTCATCAGCCAGGGACTCATATTGCTAGAAATGGTCACATCCTACATGCAAGCATTTGACTTCACTGAACTTCATTACTGCTGTATTGCATTACAGATCAAAATGCTAATTAGAAAAATTATTGGCTTCAAAGAGACGCTCAATTTAGTAGTGGTGCCATGTAATGTGGATATTGCAACAACAGAAGCACTGAAAATGGCTCAAGAAGTGGACCCCAGTGGAGAAAGGACACTAGGTGAGGCAATTTTTAAGCTACAAGTAGAATAGTAGTACAAATCTGTTTTTCCCATGAAGGTCGGAAGTTTTGTATTCCATGTCAGATCTATGAAATTAGCTAGCAGAAGAAGGAAAAAAAACAACTTAAGTAAACTATTTACAAAGTTTGATATTAGTAGCTCTAAGAATCCTTCAATTTTGAGTCTTCCTGGCATTCATGTTATGAATAATAATTGGAAATTGAAAAACTCGGAGTTAATGGTGGAAAAGCTTTGCTGCTGCCTGTTAAAAAATTGTTTGCAAGGCAAAAGGCGTGGTGGGAGGCCAACTGTAGAGCAAGTTTTACAGTGCAAAGCCCAGGATCTGAGAGATTTCTAGGAGAGAGAAAACAAAACAAAGATAAGCTACTTTATAAAACACAGTACAGAGCGTTTGTGCTCTGGTGGCAACGTGTCCTACTGAAGCTCTCCCACCTTCAACTTCTGCATTCAACTAACTTTCTCTTTGGGTAACTTCACAGGGATCCTCACCAAACCAGACCTGGTGGACAGAGGAACCGAAGAGAGCATTATTAACATAATACGAAACCTGGTCATCCCCCTCAAAAAGGGTTACATGATTGTGAAGTGTCGTGGGCAGCAGGACATCCACAACAAACTTGCCTTGGCTTCTGCAATACAGCAGGAGAGAAAGTTCTTCGAGAATCACAAATATTTCAGGTACCTCTCACAGCAAGGACCTCATAGAAAACATACTAAAGTCACTTCAAAGCTTCCTGTTGGCTTGCTGTGATTTAAATTAGGATTGCAAACAGGTATTAATTATACTCGCTATTTCTCACTGTCCATGTAGTATTGCATCCCAGTCAGCCAGAAGAATTTTACATGTGAAATAAACTTTAAAAATTTATTTTGTGTGCAAGTTTAATACATAACTCTCCTTAATGTTAGGAGAAGTGCAATCGACTTCAGAAGTTCAGAATAGTCCCAAAGAATTAAAGTTAAATATCTGAGCACTTCAAGACAAGCACCAAAGTATTTCTATTCACTGGAAAACACAGTGAAACACGGCATGAGAAAGGATACTGCCTGTGCCGAGGACACAGATTTCCCCAGAAGATGACTCAGCAGCAAATCAATCATACTATAGAGAATGACAGGTGAAAAGGGTTTTGAATCAGTGTACTTCACACATGCAGAAATAATATTGCAGCACATTAATCTGCTGTTAGACTTTGCAATTTTCAGATTCTTCTGTTTCCCCTTGCTTAGCCAGTAGCAGTAGCTGTCAAACAACTCTTGCATAAAAGCCACAGCACCCATGGAGTGCTAGGCTGCTGCTGCATCTGTACTAGCAGTCCGTAGAGGGCCCTTTCTCTACTCGATTTTTGTAGTAGAACCGGTGAAAACAGAGCAGAGCATCAGTGCTGCCTCCTTGCCCTGCACACACAGTCTATACAAAACCACCTTTTCCTCTTTTTTGCAGCATTCTTATGGAAGAAGGAAGGGCTACTATCCCTCATCTGGCAGAGAAGCTCACAAATGAACTTGTGAGACATATTATTGTAAGTAACAGAGGTGCCATACTGAGCTGTTTGTATCAGTTACTATGTAAAAATAAACTCAGCCCTTCGACCTTGGATTTCAATAGATTGCAACTGGATTGCATCTTTATATGCATAGATAGTACTTACTTATCCTTCAATGCAGCAACCTGAGAACAAATTACGTTGAGACTTAGAGGTAAAGAAACCCATGCTCTGTCCTCAGGTTTGCCTTTAAGCTGAACATTGGTAACAGGCGAATCATTTCATGTACTTGTGACCCATAACTCCTGCTTTTTCAATGTCAGCCATGGTATTTCTTTTTGTTTGTGAAGAGTGTTGATTGGCTTGGTGACAAGCTATTGCTGTGAGCTTACTAAAACACAATAACTTAAAATGTCTTCTAAATCTCAAGTACGATCTAATTGTTTTATTATATTATTATACTAATATAAGTATATTGGGTTTTTAATTTTATATACATGTATCTGTAAGTAATATATCTTATTGCATTAAGGGAAAATGCTAAAATAGAGGGAACCTCTAAATTCAGTCCTGAAGGAGAAAAGAAAATGTATTTATGTAACCTTACCTAAAATAAGCAACTAAACAGCCATGTTCAATCAGGTATTTATCAGGAATGGAGGGGTCACTACATTGGCCACATCACCACGTCGTACGGGGGCGAGACTGGAGTGACGACCTCACACCGATGCGATGAAAGTCGTTCTCCTTTATTTACCCGAATAGCGCCAAGATATACAGAGCCAGACGGTCACACGCTCTGTGCTTTACAATCTATTGGCTAAAGGCACTTATCACGCCCCCGGAAGTGCTGTGATAGGTCTGCATCGTTAGTACAAGTGTACAAACTAAATCTACTTTGTGATTAGTGTATCCGGGCATTCCAACAGGAAGGAAGCACTAGCCTGACTTCCTTATTCTTGCCCTTCCAGGTGACCTCAAGGGCAGGATTACCACGTGCAGTTTTCTGCTCAGAGACCCAGCCTGGATTGTCCAAACCCTGTAGGATCAGTGCATGACCCTGATTCCCCAAAAAATCCCACCACACCATGTCCCTGGTGCAACCCATGAGGACATAGGTTTTGGGACACTATAGGTGAAATGTTACCTTAGACTGCAGCTACTCTGCCCACCTCAGAGTGAGGTCCAGCCTCATTTCTCAGGGACATCCTAGCCCCATGCCTTCTCTCAATGCAGGCCATATTTACACTTCCATGCTATCCCACTATCACACATGGGATGCAAGGACAGCGAGCTCATGGACTCCTAAGAGCAACGGTCACGTGCAGGTGTAGGCCACTTTTAGAGGGAATTTGCTTTCCTTCAAAACCAGAGGTGTTCAACCTACTTAAATGTCCTTCTTTACTGTCTACCCCCCCAGAAAACTTTGCCAACACTAGAGAGCCAAATACGTGAGGTGCTCCAAAAAACTTTACACGACTTACAAAGGTACAGAAGAGGTACACCCACAACAGAATATGAGAAGCTGATTTTTCTCACAGATGTAAGTATCAATATTGCTTCGGTCATAGATCACAGTGAGGAGGTAAATGTGGGAGAAAAAGAAACATCTAAAGTTAGCAAAATGTTGGCATGGGCCTCAAGGAAGCTTGTGGTATCTGTCACTGAAGTGTTTTGAGAGTAACATAGACAAACGTTTTGCAGGAATGCATCATACCTGCAAAATAATGGACCACAGGAACTTACGGCCCCTTCTAGCAAATTATTTCCTGTGATTATGAGACAAGAGAACTGAACAACTTGGTTGATTGGTCAAAATCAAGCATCTCAGAGAAGGAAAACTTACACTCTTGCCTGACCAACATTTTGAAGGGTTTCCATTGTTTACACTGTTCATAAGACCAAATGCATTCCTGATATCAAAATATGATTTGCAAGTCCATCTAAGTGTTTCATCTTAGGGACCTAATGTCCCACAGTAAGCTCTCAGCTGGCCAGTAGAGGTGCTCAGGAATGCTCATCAGCATTCAAAGACTTCATACAAGTCTGGTCAATTACAATTTAGTAATGATTCTAAGAGTCCCCAAGAAAACAACAACAACAACAATGACAAAAAACAAACAATACAGAAAAATATATGATCAAGTTTGTTCTCCTCTAGCTGTGCTGGTTTTGGAAAAAAAAAAAAAAAAAAAAAAAAGAAGGAGCTAAGAAGCTAAGAGTATAAAAGATGTAAGGAAGGCATGATGTTTTCAGTGAACCATTGCCCTGCTTTAACATCAAATGACTGCAGATTTACTTAATGCACCAGTTAGTCTGAAGAAGTGAAACTTTAATGCGTTGCTCATTTGTTCTTTAATTCACTACAGTTGATCAAACTCTTTAATCAAGACATCTCTCAGGCAATGCGTGGAGAGGAACAGTTGTTTGGAAATGAAACCAGACTGTTTGCAAAAATCCGCAGAGAGTTTCAAACATGGCAAGTGATTCTCCTAGAGTGCACTACAAAAGGTAAGCATAGAAAACCATCACTTGCAGCTAACTTGAGATTCCATTCCCTTGCTTTTAAATCAAGACACAGCATCATCAACAGGTTGTTTTCAAGAAAGTGAAAAATGAGAAGCCAGGAGCATTCATCTGTTGTAGTGTTAGGCAAGTTATACTTTGGTCCTTGCGGACAAAGACCCAACTGGCATTAAATGCTGTCATTACAGAGAGATCGGTGGATGTCTCTCTTCTCCCAACAAAGCAATAAAATCAAGACTGTGGACCCTGGCACAGAATTAGTTGGTGATTCTCTAAACCAATCTTCTAAATAACAGCAGCGAAAGCAATAATAATAATAACAGTAATAATAAAAATAGTAATAATAATAATAACAACAACAACAAATAAGGGATGATGATGATGATGAATGTTCAGAATTTTGATCTTTTTTGTTCTACTTTAGCTCTCATTTAAGGTGTGGAGAAAGCGATTCTGACTCTGAAATAACCACAACCTTGTAAAGAGTACCCCTTTCTGTGCATCACCCAACCTGCTAATTGTTTAACTGAACTCAGTTCTAAACTGAGGTGTAGGGGGATACACACAGACTGACCCCCTGCTGTACACTCAACATCTTTTGCCGCATCTTTTTCACGTCTTTCAGAGATCCCATCATTTGCTCTTAGAGATGAAATAACATCAGCCACCTGTCAAGCAGTAGCTCTTGAAACACATTCTTTTAGTCTCTGATGCACATCTATGACAACATCACTAGTGACTCAAAAATGATATGTACAAATAGGCTGAAAAGTTACCATCAGTCAGAGACAAATATACATATATATATGCATATATGTGAAAAGAGACAGACAGACATTGGCCTATGCCAATGTCTCATATGTCCCATCCATGAAGTACCAAGCCAATCAAAGTGATTTTATGGTGAGGAGTAAAAGAGTAAGATAATGAAGGCATGAAGAAATAGATGTAAGAATGACAGAAAGCACTAGCAGAAGGATGAAGCTTCTTCAGAGGACAAAGAGCAATTGAGTTGCAGAATATACACAAGGCACCACATGGCAGCTGAATCACAGTGGGGAACCTTCTAGGCACTTGCAGGTTCTCCTCACTGACTAAACTAATACATCCAACTTCACAATAGAATCACGGTAGCAGCACACAGCAGCTCTTATAACAGCACAGCTCTGGCTGATGAAATGCTACTCCAGAATCATGTGTACATATACTCAGGTGAAGCAGTTACATGTGCAGCAAAGTTCATTTAAATAAATTAAAAACTAGAGGTAGCTTTAATGACCACTTCATCAATGAAAAGCATTGTTATCAGCCACCACTAGGATTTCTGAAGGTACATCATTGCATGTCAGATGATTCTCTTTAACTTTTTTATGATGAAAGAAAGTATTAAAAATAGCAGATACTTTGGATACTTGAAACCTTGAACTTCCTGTTTCAAAGCTGACAGATGTGCTTGTGGCCATGTTACAGCTTTGTACTACCTTAACTGTACTGGTACATTTTCGGACTCTGAACCAGATACTCCACATCTACTTCTGTCTTTTTTTTTTTTTAATTGTTATCCAAGCAAAGACTCATATACCCGAATGTTAGAATTTAATGCATTCATGGCTTAACTTCTACTTCCACATGTGCACTAGATCCATGATTCACAAATCTGACTCCAAAACAGGGCAATATCAAAACCTTTTAAAACTCTTGGAAACACATCTTTGCCTGAATATGAAAACTAATTCAAAGGGATATATCTCATTTGAGATGGCAAATTCATATGATGTAAACAAAGAAATATTGACTGTGATATCTGAAATAGTCAACCGCTGATTACCTGGAATGAGACTGTTTAGTGAGTTTGGGGTTTTGTTTTGTTTTGGGTTTTTTAAAACTCAGAAGTGGCTGGTAATGGCCACTTCTGTGAGGGTAGGATTTCCAAGAAGAACCACTATTTTTGAGTCCCATCATAATTTCTGGATTGCTTTCTGTTAGTTAGATGCTTGTTCCAATGTGTGAAATGGCTCATTCACTGAACAATGATGTGTGTTAGTTCAGTTCTGTAGTAACAGTATTGCTTGAAAGATTGTCTCAGTAGTTTTTCTTCTCAAGAGCATTTCAAAGAGGAGAAATAGACTTCGTCCTTAAATCTGAAATTTATAAATTGACTGATTTAGTAGTAAAGCAATGTTCTTTTAATATTACAGTTAAAAAAAATGTACCCAGTAAAGTGTGGAAATATGAAGACCAGTATCGTGGACGGGAGCTCCCAGCCTTCACCAATTACAGGACATTTGAGGACGTTATAAAAGAGCAAATCGTAGAACTGGAGGAGCCAGCCATTGAGATACTGAACAACGTGATCAGTACGTCTCACAGGCCACATGAGGCTGTTACGTGTGACACACTGGTGGGCCTGACAGGTTTTATTTTCCACAATAAGTCAACATTCTCACTTCTGGAGCAAGAGCTCCAGCCAGGATATTTCAGAGTGGGGAAATGAATTTGATTCTACCTGGGAGCTTGCTTCTTCTCTAGAGCTTTCAATCTCTGCAAGTGGTCTCCAGCATTTGTTAATGCTTTTCCCAGTGGCTGGTGGAAGGGAGTTAGTAACTTAAAATAAATAACACAATAAAGAAATAGTATAGTAGAACTACCCAGTGCCAGCCAAGCAGCTTAGTATTCCCAGCCTGAGGCATGGCATTCACAAATGCGAACTGGGAACCCAGCTTCTTTGCCAATACTTTGCATGACGTTGTATGTATCATACAGTGACTGCTGGGGCTGGGGGAAAGGGTACCTAGTTCATCCAGTAAAAAACACCCAAGGCAAAATTATGTCATGATCCTCTCTCACCTACGTTTGCCTTAGAAGGCAGCTATGGCATCTGTCCCACCCTCAGTGCTCTGTACTATATGCACTAGCCCCTCTTCCTGGGGAGGCCCCTCAGGAGGTGAGATGCAGCTGTGCCTACATGGCCAAGTGATGGCACATCTGGTCAGATGCAGCTGTAAGCACAGAAATTGCTTTATCAAAGAAATCTCAGTGATATTCAAGCTCTCAGGTGTTAAGTGGTTACAGGAGGTCTTTAATGACTCACACTCTTGGACCTAGAAATCTACATTCCTACTTGTTTGCATTGGTCATAAAGGCATAGTGCATCAGGACAGCTGCTTAGATATTTCTGGATGAATACAGTAAATGAGTAGTTCTCCCAAGTCTCACATTAACAATAACTTAAAAACCTCACTTGCTTACCTGACTTTTTTTTTTTTGTCTCTCTATTTTTCACTTAGGACTGGTTGAAGAGAAATTTGTGGAACTCACTAAAAGGCATTTTGCTAATTTTCACAATCTAAACAGAACTGCTAAGGTGAGACAGTACCTATACCTGAGATAAGACAACAGCAAGACAGAATGACATTTGTGAATACAGCCATGCTTACAGTACCTATCCCATTGCATTACCCTTAGGCAAGCATAAAATTTCTTGAAAACCTAAGGTTTTTATAAAATAAGGAAGAGCTTGAAAGTGATAGCATGTTTATAATGACACTAATGAAAGTGCACTTTGCTTTTTGGTACAACTTTGGCAAGGTCTAAAACATACATTCCTCATTCATTCTGATCACATTCCTGATGCATACAACACAATGCAAAGAAAACCTAGTATGGCTGCCTTGAAGAATTTATAGCTAATTTCAAATTTAAGTCCTGCAATGATTTGTTAAGTCTGTGGGTAGCCTCAGAGCACTAAACAGTGCTTTTTCCCCTCTGAAAGGCAAGCCAGGGTGTTAGCCAGTGCAGGAATCTTATCTTTGATAAAAGGGAGTAGTAGCAGAAAAGCCAAAAATCATTCAGCTATGAAAGAGCTAGAAGATGTCTGTTTACAATTTGAGGGATCGCATGTTTTGGGGTGGAGTTAAATTCTATGGATGTCATTCAAGGTCTTTTCTCAAAAAGCTTTGAGGAAGAGATGAGAAGCAATGCTGGACAGCCAGGAAGCAGAGTCCACTCATGGGGTACTGCTTAAAAATAAAACGCAAAGGCAGATGCAGGTGAAATAGATGGTTTGCTATTTGACTTGCATGGCCAAACCCTACTGAGCTCCCAGGCCAACTGGACAGCAAGCAAATAATCTAGTTCAGTCAAACACAGAGGTGTTTAGGGAGGGTTCTTCAGGAATAACACGGTGAGAGGAATGAAGAGGTAGGAAGCCCTGGTAGACACTGAAGATGAGAAAAAATGATGGAATGCTCTCTTAGGCATGCTAGGAAAGCATTTTAAGGGAGTTTGAAGTTGACTGAGGAAACTTTGCTGCCCCCACAGACTTTTGGGTGGAAGTATCAAAAAGGCCAGAACGCATCAGATTACTGCAACAGAAGAGCCAGACAGCAAGGGGTTAGACAGGGTTGGTTTGCTGACAACAGACAGGAGACTACGCGTTTTGAGAAGGGCAGGAGGGGCAATGGAGTTCACATCAGTGCCTGCTGTCACTGCCTACTGCAAGAGGGAGACACAAACAAAGTGCATGTAAAAACTGAGGACAGGCTGCAGGCTGAATTCACAGCTGGTCATTGCTGCTTGTTCCCATCAGCCTTGTATTTCCCTTTAAGGTCCAAGCACTAGGTTTTGAGTGATCCCACTCATGTTTAAGGAGGGGACAAAACCACCATGTTTTCCTGCTCTTTCACAACAGAGGAGCCAGAATCTAAAGCACTACTTCATGTTCCCAAGGACTGGTCTGGGATTAGACAGTGCTGCAGCAGGGACTGTTGAACACTGCCCACCTTGCTATTCCCTGCAGACACTGCTAAGCACCAGCACCTTTGCAAGGGAAGCAAATGTCTAAGAATTTGTTGGTTTTTTTTTCTTTTCTAGATCAGAATTGAAGACATTAGAGAGAAACAAGCAGCGGAGGCTGAAAGACATATCCGGACCCAGTTTAAAATGGAGAGCATTGTATACTGTCAGGATGACCTTTACATTAACGATTTAAATTCTATTAAGGCAGAAAATACTACCAAAGCTGGCAATGGGAAAGAGTTGCAGTTTGGATCCATTTCGAATCAAGAGCCCTGCTTTGTCCAGGAAATGGTTTCTCACACGAAGGCCTATTTCAATGTGAGTTTACAGACTATGATAGAGCAGCTCTGCATGCTGAATGCTATAGTATATGCCCCTCATCCAGATCTCCCTATAGTCAATAGTCTTTCATGCTGTACTACCACTACATAAGGAATAGTAGCCAGAGGGTGGAAGTGTCTTATCCAGGTACATGCAGAGTTTCTGGATGAATTATTCTAACCTTCTGGCCAGTGATGAAAATGCCAGGACAAAGCTGGTCTATGGCTATGCCAGCACAGTCGCTGGAGAGTAGTTGCACACTACAGGATATGGCGATTAGGGAAGCCTGCAGGTTGTTAAAATGACGGCTGGCTCCTAAACCATTTGTCAGACCCCCCAGTCTGGCATGGCTCCCTGCTGCGGCTGCCCCCTGCTTGGGGAGTAGGCCATCGGCAAGCGAGTCCTCTTCTCACCCTCCTCCAGCCTTTCATGGAGAAGAGGGTGACTCCTTGCCACGTACACAGCCCCACGCCAGTACAACGCCCTCTCGCTGGCTCTCCTATGGAGACAAGTGTCAGGGGGAAGAAAGGACAGTCAGTTCCCAGCAGGGAGGAGAGGATAGGATGGGGAAGAGTCCTTGGCTCTGTAATTAGAAGTTTCTGATGTTGAAGGCAAGCCCCCCTCTCCAGCACAGGAAGCAACAGTCCTAGGATTGCCATCTCAGGCCATCTCAGTTTTCAAATAACACTAATTTCCACAAGCTTAAAAACATTATGTACAGCACTTCACTGTCCAGCACAGTGTCTGAGAGATCAGGTCAGCCTCAAGCCCCTCTGCATATTCCTCTGCCAGCAGAAAGTGGTGTCAGTGGCTTGCAGTCAGATTCTAAACTAATGCGGCAGGAGAAGCAATAATAAAACGTTAAGTTAAAATGGATTCAGCTACCTATAGAGATCAGAGTGTGCATGCTGTATTGCAGATAGCTCCACAGAAGTTAAGTCTATGAAGACAAATGGGTTGTTTTAACAAAGGATCATGTTAAAGGAAGACAGCAAAGAGAACACAGAGTATCAGGATTTGCTTTTGATCTTTGTTTTGTAAGACTCACTCAGAAAGCAACAAGTTCAGTATTAATAATGCAGTAAGGTAGGTAGCAACTCACCTTGAATTTCAATAGCAAGGTTTTGACAAATTCCTGCAATTAAATGTTCAGGCTGCTCAGGCTGATGGAGAGAAAACCATCGGCTTTCAGAGAACAAAAGACAAAGGCAGAACTGTGTAAGGTCTTCCCTCCTGCCTCACTATACTATCCTCTATAATACAAATGTCTTAGAAACTAGTTATACATTTTTGTAAATGCCCTAAGTGCCATTTTCAACAACAACAAATGCCAGGACATCATAACTCCATGGGATTTATACAAGGCCTAATACACTTTGAATGAGATGGAAGCTCTTATGTGTCCATGGCCTATGAAAATAGCATGCATGAACCTGTGTCAGCTATGGCAAGACTATCAAGATTTCCACTCCAGAAAAACACTCATATTTAAAGCATCTAGGCTCCTTCCCACCACGGTTACTAGTACTTAGAGAATACATAGGCTCAGTAAGTGCTTCAGCTGACTCAGCTGAATTGCTTGCTATTGACTAGATCTCTGCAAACTAGAAAGAAAAACTATCTTTCAGCTTGAGCTCAACCTCATCCTTGTACACAAAAGATTTGTAGCCACTGTGCTCCAGAGGTACCCAAAGCCAGAAACACCTTAGACCTCTCTGGAAACAGGCTGCCTAAACCCTGAAAGACCTATAAATTAAATGTGCCTCTACTGGTCTTCCCACTGCCATTTTCAAGTCAGGTGCCACAAAAAGAAAGAAAGATGGCACCTCTCTCAATTGCAGGCAGTCACTCAGGCATAAGTGCTCACCTGGCACCAGGAGGGCTGGAGGGAGGCAGCTGCCTCCCAGCGTTGGAGAGGTTTTGAACCTCCATTGCCCAAGAGCACCAGCTAAACCCCCCATGTCCTGCAGATGTCTCTGGGGAAAAGGCCCCACAAGGTCTTCTAGATCAGTCTGTTTCAATTTGCATAAATAACTAGACCAGACAGTTTGTCAGGTTAAGCAGGAAATTACATGCTAAATCTTACTCCAAAGCTGTCTTATGCTTAAAAGGGCAACCACATCAGAAATATCATCTAAATACAGGAATTTACCACCTTTGAGAAAAATGTTTGATTTCCTGTACACTAACAGATTGGTAGTGTTCAGAGAAGACAGGTTTGACACCAGAAATTGTTCATAAGTACTATTCACCGGGTATGTCCTCATATAGCTCTGACCAGTGCTAGCTGACAGACCTAAGTCAGGAACAGCCTGCCTTGGATTCTATTTGCTGAGGGAAAAAAGCAACAACTGAAATTCCCGTAACTTCTCATTTTTATATCTTTAGGCACAAAAGAGACTGATGGCAAACATTTTTAGTTCCTAAAAGCACTCACTTCTTGAACAGTAACTCAATACATTTTAAAAACAGGCTGTCATTTCTTGCCAGATTACCTACACCCTTTCCTTTTTTAGTTCTTTTTGGGAAACAAATCTCCCTTTTTTTCCCCTTCTTGCAGGGAGCAAGTAAACGTCTCTCCAATCAGATACCTCTGATCATCCTGTCTTCTGCCCTTCATGATTTTGGTGATAACTTACAGACCACTATGTTGCATCTTTTGCAAGAAAAAGACAAGTTAAGCTATTTCCTTCAGGAGGACAGTGAAGCTGCTAAACACAGGAACTACCTCAGTCAACGAGTTAATCGGCTTGCCAAAGCCTGCCAGTACCTGAGAGACTTCACCTCGCAATAGCTATCTTCATTTCTCAGAAGAATTTTTCTACTCTTGCTTTCTGACATTTTCTAGCATAAAAAACCCTAAAAATGTAATGTCAGCACAGACCTTTAACACTTATACCTAATGTGCAGTTCTGCTTTATTTTCCATAAGCACTTCTATGCAAACACCTACCCTGATATAAAGCACTCCATTGCAGTTGTGATTAAATAAATGTTATCCCTTTTTTTTTTTTTAATTTGCTTTATGAACTCCAGATGATCATTGAAATAATTATTAAAAGGCTAGAGCTCTAAGAGTTGTGTTTTGTCGTGTTGATTTTTTTAAATGAGTATGTGGGCTTTCAGATGTATAACTGCAGAAATCAAATCATCTAACTAGCTTTCCTAGATGAACTTTACTGCACAACCCTAGCAATCCCCCACTTCCCCTTGTGTTTTTGCCCGACGGTGGTTGATGTCATTCCTGCACTGTTAAGTGACAGTCCAGTAGGTACAGAGAGTGCACACAGGGGGCACGAAACCGTTCCAGCCTAGAGGGAAAAGAAAGTTAACTTCATCAGATCAGTACGTCCACAGGATGCCATTGGCTCCATTTCTTTTTCACTTCTCTGATTTGTAGAGAGATACTAAAAGACTCTTTTTTTTGGATGCCTAGAGCATCACCTGAAATTTTGGGTCTGATGGGCAATTCAGTAGGTGGCAGGATTTGGCTATCCAGAAGGGACTAAACCACCCAGGATGTTGAACATTAGAAGGGTATCTCAGCATGTGGTTTGCTGCCTGTCTCCTTCCCCTCCCTCTGTGCAAGGAGAACATTTCCAAAAGCTCTTTCATTTCATGGAAGCCAGTGGAAAAAGTACTACTGCACCCTGTATTCATGACATCTTTCATATGGAGGCAAAGATGTGCTTTGTGTAGCAAGTCACGTCTGCATTCAGCTAAAAAACAGTATGCTTGTACAGTGTGCCACACAGTAATTTCCAATATGCTTACAAGAGAAGCCTTCTCTTCAGGCTAGAAATGATAGAAGGTGTTTGACACTGACATGAAACTGCAGCAGCAGATGGCTGACCTCTGTGGCAGTGTTCACCACCAGGACAGCATACAGCTTTCTTAACCTTTTTTGGCACTGCTGCCAGTTTTCCACATATCTGTATACTGTTTTGCTACTATTTCCTTGCAGTGCTTTAGGTCAGAAGCCATAAAGAAATCCTGATACCATAACAATTTATTTAATTTCTATTTTGAAAGTACTTTAAACTTGCTGACTACTTCACGGTATCTCCCATGGCATACTTGATGCTCATGTGCTATTGAAAACACCCTGTCTCACACCTAGAGAAGAGGTGGGTATACACTGCTTCAGGCAACATGAGATGTAATAACAAAATAGGATGCAACTCCCTCAACCCACCTTTAGGCTAAACTTCTTTAATTCAATTTCACAAGTCAGAGTGATTTCATCAGACCCAGACACTAAAGACATCCAACATTCCTAGACACCCAGCTCTCTTTCTCTGGGTTTGTTCCAGGACTTGAAATATTGAACTAAAACAATCTCTTGGATCACCCTCTTGTGTTGTTTTTCTTTTGCCTTTTTTTTTTTTTTTTAATTAGATTCTCAAAGCACTTCAGACACTGAATCCAGCAACTGCTTCCAAAAAAATCCAAGCAAACAGATATAAACCACTACTAAGGAAAACTGCTTGTAAAAAAAAAAAAAAAAAATTTATTTGGTGCAGTGTTTACATGCAAGATAATTGCATTTCAGTACCAAAAGAGAAAACAAGACTAGTAGAGTCATTTAATTCAAAAGATTTATCCTTCTTAACAAAAGTGACTTCGTATGGCTTTTTGATCCTCTGTACTATGATTATAAATTATTTTCAAAATCCTAGTTGAGGTGGCACTCTTATTAATTACATTTTGCTAAAAACATACATGCAGAAACATAAAGGAGAGCTCTAAGGAATTAAAAGCCAAATTTAATAAATGAGGTAGTTCATCTGGTTACGCAGAAACACAGGTCTGTTTCTTTGTAGGAAACATCCAGCCTTTGTACGTGTGTCTGCAATCAGAGGTCTATCGCTTACAACACAGCCTTACTGAAAAACTTGGCCCTTTGCCTTCCACAGCAGGGAGAGTCCAAGAGCCAACTCGATGTGTGCAGCCAGGGACCTTGCCGTCGGGACACTTCACTCGCCCCTTCCTGCTACACCTCCAGAGCATCCCTCTCCGTAGCCTACATGAAGAGTGATGGCAGGTCTTGCCCTTTTTGGGTTCCGAGCGGCTTAAGGCAGAACAGCACTTTTAATTACTGAGACAGTCAGACTGGTCTCACTTCGAACAATCTGACTTGGATGACTGCTGTGTCGAGATCCTGAGGATTTTTAACTACCTGAATATACAGTATTTTTTTTTCTGCGCCTCTACCGTAGTGCATGAAAACTTCCCTTCTTATATACCAAACATTAATTTCTTTTTAAATTGCCAACCAGCAGCTCAGAGATTCAACGTTCATATTACTTAACATTTAATTTAAAACATTACTAAACCAACTGTCTCAGCATCCTGCTACGAAAATCTTAAATTAAATTGTGATTAAAATTGACATTATAAGCCTGAACCTGATTATCAAGTGAAAGTTAACTCAACTAAAGAGAGATATTTCAGCAAGCAGTTGACAGAATGACTTTCTGCCAGGCATCACAACAAGAAGAAAGGTGCTCATTGTGATAATCCTTCACTGATTAAGATCAGTCACTGTAGCCAGCACAGAACCGAGTGTGCAATCCTTCATGCTATTTCTTTTTAAAGAAAATTCAAAGAGAAAAAAAATCATTTGCGAAGTGAATAAATATCCCAGGCACCCATGGCTTCATTTATTCTTGTTCTCAGCAAGATCAGCAAGAGGGACAGACAGCATTGTCATCTGTTTGCCTGTTTAAAAAAAAAAAAACAAAACAAAAAACAAAGGTTTAGGTTCTACTGACAGGCTGACAGACTATCTTATCAGTTACCCGGATGCTTCTCAACAGAATAGCTTCATTAGCAGACGAGTCACATTTATTTATTTTTATAAATAAAATCAAGTTTCAGGATTTGGGACATTTAAAATTATTAAAAACACCCAAATATTTTACCTGCATGTTTTTATAAATCCAATCTGTAAACACAGTCATATTTCCATACACTCCAGGTCTGTTGGGACTAGCACAGCCAGTTCCCCAGCTCGTATCTCCAACCAGCCACCACACAGAGTTTTTGTTCGTTACCAGCGGACCTCCACTGTCACCCTACATAAAATACAAGCAAGTTATTAGTGACCTGGCCACCCGGAAAGACACAATCCACTTCACTTCAGGAATACAGGCTAAGTTTCAAAAAAAGCTAACCACCATTTTAAGGCAGTCATTAAAATAGAATGTGATGGCAATTATAGCATTAAATGATGACTGCTTGTAATAAGGATGAAAATTGTTTGCCCAAAGCACTAAATGACATAGACATTATTGACTTTCTTGTTCACAAGCATGATGCCAGGGTATTGCCATGATTATGAAGAGCATTCATTCACTTTCAAGTACAAGATAACAAAACATCCCTGAAGCATTAAAAAAGGACTGCCTCTCCCTCTCTGGGTATTTAGTGAGAACTCTGAACTGACAGCCATTCAGAAAATGAAACACAAGCTCTCCATTTTGAAGGGATGCACCACAAAAGGAACTAGAAGTCCAACCAAAATGTTACTCCATTTTTTTTTTGCATAAGATCTTTTTGTAATTAGTAGATTATTTAAAAAGCCTACTAGCAACACCACAAAAATAATCAGATTATTATTAGGTGTTAATTAGAAATAATTACCTGACAGGAATCAATTCCTCCACCTAGATATCCAGCACAGATCATTGTAGGCAAAATCATGCCATTATAGATATAAACAGAATTACACCTAGAACGTTCTATTAAGGGCACCGTAACATAATTCAAGTTATTTGATGTTTTACCTAAAATTGAAACATGCACAAAACCAAAATTAGAACAAGCATCGTATTATGTTGCTATTACAAATCCCAGCAGCTAGCACTGTTCAAGATGAAATAAACTTACTAGAAACACTAGGATGGACACTCAAGTTGTATGGTCCACCACACAGAGACAAGTGGGACATTAAAACTTCCTTCCAAAAGGTCAGTGAGTTACCCTGCTTTGATGTCAGCGTACTGTAAAGCAAGAGAACATGGCACCTACCTGCCTACTCCAGCCACAAATCTATTGTCTTACTTACAGGGCTATTAAAAGCACATGAAGTCTGCAAGAGGCAAAGAGGACCTCCCCACAGTTTCATGGTCCAGCACAAGCTACCAGCAATTCCCATATTCAGGGTCCAGCTTCCCCAACACCCCCCTCCCCACAGTACCTTCTCATACTGAAAGAAACCTTTTCTCCCTTTCCTTTTCACTTCTTACAAATTTACTTGCATCATGCTATTATAGCTTGAGGTGGTAGAAAGGACAGGCTCCTCCACAGAGGACTGGCTTGGCATAAAGCTACCCTTGTTACAGGAGAGGTGGCCATGCTAGCAGGGGCACAGGATTGTTTCCTGTGTGAACATTTCTGGCCTCAGGTACTGATCTGAGACTCCTTTGCAGTCTGCTGAATGCAACACACCACAACTTGTTTTGAGACAGAATGCACAGCGTAAATATTAGGGGCTGTAAAATGGGTGAAAAAACAGCACATCAACAGATCCGGCTCAAACTGCTCCATCAGCCCATGCAACTTTTTTTGTAGGCTGAAGAGAACCGGTTTATGTAGAAGATCAAAATATTCCAGAGCCACTCTACCTCCTTGGTATTCTGCTCCCCACCCAGATATCCAGCACTGCTGATTAGGCTGGAACATCATTCCTGGATTAGGCAGACAAACAGGCCGTACAGTATCTACAAAACAAACACAGTAACATCTGTAACACCAGACATCTAGGCATAATTCAAAATAAATGCATATGAAACATCTCAGTGTGACCATCACTTAAGTACATACCCAACACGCATTCTCAGTGTGACCATCACTCAAGTACATACCCAACACGCATTTTCTCTGTACTGTACCTTCCTTGCAGATCAGCAATACTGTGCAATGCAGGCAGCAGCAGCAAACTTACCAGCCGCCCTTACCCAGATGGCTACCTAATCTTCACCTCAAAGTGAGGAACAAGCACAGCTAATGGTTCTAGCTCAGGCTAACTAGAATAATTAACACCAGCTCTTCTGATCAGTAGAGGACAAAGGAGAAGAAAAACTTTTGACAACTACATCTCTGCATTCTCTTTCTAAAACCCTGCTGAAAATAATCACAATGCAATACCTATATACAAGAAGAGTGAAACACAAAAACCTGGTAAACAGGCAACCTCCCTGCTCTCAGGAGCAGAAGAGCCCCTCCAGATTACTTCTACTGGCTTTAAACTGATGCAATGAAATACAACAGACCTATACATAAAAAGCATTTCAAGTTTAAATAATGATTTGTCATCTATTTTCTACCACTTGCCTACAACCTACATCTACTTTTAAGAAAAGAACTTTCTGTCATGTTGGCTTTTGCAGCTGTTTTGTTTTTTTTTTCTGAATTGTTATTTGCCATAACTTGGTTTAGGACTTTAATCAGCTGCTCCACTACTACGTCCTGAGTCTGCACATATAGGAGTGGCAATACTTAGGCACTGTACAGCATTCTGGGGTTAAAGTACATTACCAAGATAAGCCCAAACTCCCTTACTATGTACTACATTTAAATAAATCCTACTTAGAAAATCAGAGGGTGTGCCCTCTGTCTCTACCTCTACCGTCTCTCTGTGTCTAAGGTGTCTCTACCCACACACTTTGTGTTCTTCTCATAAGAATCTACAAGGATTTATTGATGAAATTCGTAAGTCTTAAAAGATGTGCTCATTGACATTGGATTTTTGCCTTAAGAACAGAATACATACCAGTAAAACTCAGTGGTATCTCTAACTTCATGAGTGCAACATCATTGTCTTTAGAATCCGTATCATAATGCGGATGGGAAATTATCTGTTGAACTCTGTATCCATTTCTTAAGAGCATCTCATTCTGATTCAGAATCCCAGCATAAACCCTCCAGCTATAGGGGTCAGAAAATCGTCTACAGAAAAAAGGAAGGTTAGAAGGTTTGCTTCTCTGGTAACAAGTCACAGATTATGACCTTCAGAAAACTGTCTTCAGAAACAGTAGTCAAATGCATGTGCGACCAAGAATGCACGTGCATTTGAGTACCATTTCTGAAGAACAAGGTAAATAAATTGCAAGACATCTAACTTTGGGAAAGCTTGACTGTAATTTCATAAACATATGCCAAAAATCTGAAATGGGTTAAGTATCACTGTCTATCCCCTTAGTCACTCAGCACAGCAAATTATAGTCTGAGACTGCAACACTGTAGTCTATTGATTTCCATGGCTGAGGGATCAAGCAGTTATTTCTGAGGTCTCACATGTCAGCGGTATCACTCACGTGTACTATCCAAAGCACACAAGGGCAGCAGAAGCCAGAATTAGTAAAAACATGAGCTAGTGAAGGAACGATCTTGAAAATCTCAGGGTTTCTTTTGTTTGGTTTTCGTTTTTGGTGGCTTTTTTTAAATGTTAAGCATACTCACTAGATGTACTTTAAGTAGCCTCTTGTGCTCTAGCAGAGTTTACAAATGCTCAATAGAAAACTCCTCACAAATGTTAAAAATCCCTCCACAAGAACTGACAAGGTAGTAGTGCTTATAAGTTATTCCCCCTCCAAAAAAAAAAAAAAAAACAAAAAAAAACAAAACCCACAAGACTGAAAACCAGTTCTGTGCCAGCTATAGCTTGGTTGTCATTCCTAAAGCTTTTGCATACTACAGAGCTCAAATCAGAAAACAAAGGAGGGATAAGATCATCACATAAAAATAAAAACCTGCATTCCTTTCTCAAGGTTAAGGACAAAGTTATTTTTCCTTGGCTTAGCCTCAAATCGTGATCCAACCAACCAACCATTAAAATGTGTTTGCTTAGTGGGTTTTGCTTCCAACAGAAGCAACCACCTTTTAAATATATTCTGCCACTGTACACAAGGTAGCACAACACCCTCAACTCTCCTTCATAGGTTAAAAATGTACAAAGCACCAGCTACTTTTCTTGATGATGCCTATGTAAAGTGCTCCTTGGATATGTATAAATCTACACTTAATACTGACTTGGGCTTTACTACCTTTTGGCACAAAGATACAAGGAAATAAATGGTACAGGCATCTTTAATTTGATCACATCTACAGTTGTGCAATATCTGAAGGTTTGTGATTTTATTTCTTTTTTTCCTTTTCTTTGTTTTTCCTCACAGCGTGATTCAAGATCTTCATGAAAACACTGTACTGTCTGGCATTAAGTTTGGTGCTTTGAGTTTACCTCTTAAGTTGGGTGAGTATCTGTGACCAACACCACCACTCAATTTAAGTTAAACCTTTAACAAGCAAAATAAGATTTTCTCCCTGTAGAAAGCAGACAGATGATCTGCAGACAGCCTCCTTGAGAAAAAGTTGTCCCTTAATACTTGAAAACCATACTGCTACATAGGCAAAATACTGTACCTAGCACCTGTATTCAAGGCAGGAGTAAGGGAAGGAATGGTATTTAATTCAGTTTTAAAGCAGAAAGTTGGGAGACGTAAATTTGTGCGTTTCAGCCTGAAGCAAGAAAAATCTCCATTCGTGAGATGAACGAGCGAGGCGGTTGCTCTGGCGAGACTCACCCTTCCACGCAATGTGCCGCTGTCACTATCCACTGGCGGGTGATGATGGAGCCCCCGCAGACGTGGATGCCCTGCATGTGGAGGCTGACCTGCCACGGCCACTGCCCCAGCGCCGCCCCGCTGCCGCCCACAATTCGGTTCATGATGTTCATGTTTTTGGTGGACAGGCCGCACTCTAAGGAGTCGGTTACACATACACAGACATTAGGTAAAGAGCGAGCTGGCCTGGAAGAGATGGCTTCTGCAGCTCAGGCTTTGCTAGCAGAGGGGGGGCGCACACCATGTCCGACCCCTGCGCTGCTGCCGTTCGATATGCCACAGTTCAGGCCCCTGCCCTGGACACCAAGATCCCAAATCTCCCATAGCCCAGACCCACTTCACATTGCAGATGTCAAGATGAGTATTTGATAGCTGCTGCCCTCGGTTCAACCACAAACTATGAACCAGTGGTTCACGACAGCTTTGAGCGTGGTGGTATTCAAGCATCTCTAGCAATCCATGCAGACACACGCCTTTGTGTTGTGCAACAAAACAGACAACACAGTCAGGAGTCGCCTCATGACAGCCATCACCATCAAGAACTCACTGACCACCCAAAGGCTGCATGTCAGAGAGGGGATGCCCCACAGACATCCCATCGTGGCTGCTGGGGCAAGGGCTACAGAGCTTCACTGCAGGCAAGTTGTTTAAGGGAACTGGTGACAGCAAAGACAAAAACAACTGGGGATCCAACATCCTCCTTGTCTTCTCTTTCACCCTGCTCCTTAAACTGCACTGGCTGAAACTTGAGAACCAGAGTTAAATCATCTGCCCATCAAAAGGTGGCAATTATTTATGCAGATTCAAAAGGACTTCGCAACCAGAGCACTTCAAAGCAAGAACAAGGAGAAGTTTAAGAAACAGTCACTTACCTATGCAGCGCAGAGAAACCACATTTCCCGATGCACAGGAATCACTGCAATAGAAAATAAAACAAACAAACAACAACAACATAAACCCAAACAAACAAACAAGCAAAAAAAAAAGCCACCCACAAACATGATACTAGGCACACAGTGAAGCAAAAGGTGGGTAAAGTTCACCCTCTAGCTGCTTCCTATCCTTTCCAGCTATGTGCCCTGCCTTCACTTTCATCTTCCTGCTGAGGGTTCCCTCCTTTCTTCACTCTCTCCAGATACCCTACCAGCAACTATCTGGCCCCCACCATTTCTTGCATTCACCTAAATTGTCATGTGGAAGATTGCAGTCGCCAGTACAAAAGGTTTGTAACCCTACTGAAGAGCAAGATGAAGAATAGAGTAAGAAAAAGTTGAGCTGATTCATGAAGTAGTTGTAGAATCACCTAAACAAGGGAGCCACAGGAACTTTGCAGGCACAGTGGTCTATAGGTTCAGAAACTAGACACTTTAGAGTTGTTTAATGAGAACAAAAATGATACTCTCCACAGTGAAAGACCCATTTTGCATGCTGTGTATTCATGTGACTGAAAAAAAAAAGCTGTACCAGCTACTGTGAATGTGTTACAGCTGGTAGCTACTGTCACCATACAGAAACTCCTGATGATGGTCAAAGAGCCTTAGGAAAGTATCTTTGATATGACAACCTTCTAGACAGCACAGAGGAAACAGGATGGGACATCTTCTCTTTTAAAAAAGGGGAGGAGGAATGGAAAAATAACAGCTGTGTTTTTAAACAGAAGGGAGAGCAGTTGCTGCAATCAGATTAAAAACAGTCTCTTTCCTTCTAACAATCCCCATTGAAAGATGTGCTTGCATTATGTGATGGGCAGAAGCTACACCTCTTACAATAGCTAAAAAGACACCTGATAAAAGGAAGTAAGTTTGTATTAAACAAAGATACCTGCTATACAGCTTTTTGTACAAGTCTATATTCCCAGCACTTGTGTTCAGCTTCATGTAGCTTTTGAAGCTGACTTCAGTTGCTACTCCTCGACTATAGTAATATGTATCTCTGCAAAACAGAAAGTCTATTATGAAACCCGGTAGTTTCAGTTTTCAAACAGGTAACAATAAACTGTGCCAAGCTAGAGCTTCTGACATGATCAACACTGAAAATATGATTTTTTTTTTTTTCTTTTTAAATTAAACACAGAACCCCACTAGTGTAGTACAGTGCCAGAAATTCAGATCCTTTAAACATTTGTCAAGTTCCATTTCCCATCAAACAGTTACTAGATTAAAACAATATTTTCATGTAATATGCATGCATGGTAGGAATCTTCAGCCTCATGAAACAGGGCAAGATGAAGAGATGCCTTTGTCAGTACATTTACACAGCATAGCAAAGGTTAGGTCCAATAAGCGATGACAGCCACATTTCTGTGTGACAACAAGAGGGGCAGCAAGTGCTGCTGTTCTGCCAGGCTTTCCAGCTTAGGACCAGCTCTGTATAGTTGCTGCTGGACTGTCTCACTGGAGTTGAAACTACTGGAATCACTGCTGAGACCTCCATTTAGAGCATCACGATGCTCTGGACACACGCAAGTTCTGCCTGCCTGGGCAACAAATTCACACCATTACTCCACGCCCAACAGAAGACTGTATTTGCCAACTGTATCAAAGAGAGGCGACATCAAGTATTCCAACCGTAGATGAACTTAGGTTGTGGTGTTATGTGGGGAGAACTTGGGCAGCACTCAGGGCCACGAATGTTTATGGCAATCTTCCACACAAGCTGGTGTTACTTGTGTCCTCGAAGATCAAAGCTTTCCATGTAGTACCAGTGATGACAGGTTAAGTCAGATTGGATGTTATTGAGCAATTATAATGACCTGAAGCGAGCGAGCTCTGGAAGATGATTGTAAGTGAATGTATTGGATACCCACTGAGTAACTACTGCACGCAGGCCAGACCCCGTTACTTGTTGGAGCAATGTTTCATTTTGATTTTGTAACAGCCACCATTATTAAAATTAGGCCCACCGGGGTTCACAAGAACTAGGTCGTCAACTGCTTTTTGTTTCAGACACATATTCTTAAAAACAACAAGAGGGAAATTTTAACCTTTCTATCTATGTATGTGCAAAGGCTGATGAAGGTTCAACTTACACAGTGTAGCCCATGTCTTTACATGCTATCTTCCCATAATCGTCATTCCAGTCGTCTTGACAAACAGGATACCAGGATTTGCTGACAGGTGAATAAACTTCCAGGATAAAGTTTGGTCCAAAAAGTCTAACTGCCAGAAAAGGAAGGAGGAAAAAAAAAAGATACCAAAAACACCACACGCTACATCACTGCTCTTTCCCTACTTAAAAGTATTGTTACCCATAATATTTGCTTGTATGTATGAATTGGTGTTAATTCAATGCTGCCTCCTACTCAAATTCTGAGTAAATAGCAAGTAGACAGAAGTATTGCAGTGATTTAATTCTTCTGTAAGGCAATTTAAAAGAACTAGTAGTTTAAACATTCGAGTGTACAAGATGAATACTATCTTTTCATTTCAGCTTTTATGCTCAAAATTCTTTCACATTCTACCACTGAGAAAGACTAGAACAGCCAATCTTTTCTTATTTTTTATCTCTGCAGCCATATATTTCTTAATATATCATATATTGTGCATGAGTAAAATGTAATCTATTGTAATATATTTTCTATTATATCTTAATACACCAAATTTCTTCAGAGAAGCGCTTGTAGAGCAAGAATGTAACAAAGAGCAATTGGCTCTGACATTCCATGCCCCATTATGTATTTATAAGCACAAGAATTTAATATAAAATAGTTCAAGCAGAAGAACAGATTGAACAAGCTTCTCCAAAAATCCATTATTGAACCAAATGGAGAGGAACAGCTTTAGAGCATACGCTAGTAAATGTTAACCCTGCCACGAGGCATGTGCAGAATAAAAGTTCCCAGAGAAAGCATAAGAGCACAGTCGGAGTTTTCCAGAGTGGTACTGGCACATCACAGGTGTTAGAAAGAAGATGTCACACCTTTGGAATGGACAAATCAATAATGTTTCCACTCTCAGCTCTGCACTAAAGCTTCCCTTGGTATCTTTTCAGTTGGAAACACTGATCATACCAGGCTTTCTTACACAAAGGAGTTATGAAGTAGTTGAAGCATTAGTAGGAGAATGAGGAATGCAAAATATGTGGAAAAAGTCAAGACTGACTGAAGACCACCAGATTTATGTTACCACCTGAAGTTCTACTAAGAAGTCAAAGATGACTATTCATTCCAGAGACAGTATTATATTCAGTTTTGCACAAACCCTTTTCAAATTAAAAGCTAATATTTTAAATACTGATTCAAAGTTAAACCAGCTCAAACACATGAGTCAGTCATTTTGTTTCAGCTTTTCAATCAGAATTGAAACAGTATCTAGATATAGGCTTCAAAGCACTCCAACATCCTAAACCATTTTAGAGATATAACTTAGGCTGAAATGGCCCTACTGTAACCTAGGCAAGCTTTGGACAAGGCCATTTGCTCAGAAACTCTTGCAGTTGGCTGAAGGTCCCCAGCTCCTAGACTGCCCGTACTCACCACACCGAGTTTCATCCTCCCCGTTGGGGCAGTGGCTCACTCCATCACACCACTGCGAGGGTGGCATGCACACTCCTGAAGATCCACACTCTATTAAGGAGCCGAGACAACGATTCTCTACTGCAGGAGAGAGCAACACAGCCGAACATCAGTTTAGCCTCAGGCAACTACTGCCAACTCTCATCTTAAGGAGTATTCCGCTTTGATAGAGCAAAATATCAGAAAGAGCTCTTCAACCCAGTGATGGGAGGAGACCTAGGCTGACACAACAGAAGATGTATTGCTCTGTGCTTTACATCACTTGTCAGATTAAGTCACTGATGCAGCTGATTGGATTTTGTCCACTGCTTCCCCTGAATAAGCAAGCACCATTAAGTTGTCTAAAAGGAGTCAGCTTTACACTGACAAAGCATAACACTTATAAACAGAAAAGGAGGAAGAAAGACAATTACTCCAGTTACATCCTTTTGCTGCCATTTAAAACAAGATTACATTCACCCTATATAAATCAAAGTGAGTAAAAAAAAAAAAACAAAACTCTAAGAACACATATTGTCAACCTAATAGTTTAAATTAACTCCCTTCTCTCTCCCTTTCTTTTCATGCACAGAACAGAAAGGAGAGGCTCCTAAAAACATAGCAAATTGTTTTTTTAGTTTCCCTTGTAAAGAGGCTTTCACTGAAAGGGAAATTAAGATAGCACAAGACAAATTTCACCTAAACCAAACAGAATTGCTCTATCCCAGCTTCAGCCCTCAATCACCCCAGCTGGGGATGACTTCCAAGGCAAATATATCATCTGTGGTACGGCTTACGGTGGTGAGACAAGTAAAGCTCACACAACATTAACACACTTTCAAAGCAAAAGCCTCACAGAAACAAATAAATGGGCATGAATGACTTATGCTCCAAGAGGGATCTCATTTTCCAAAATAAATCAGACCTTGACCATTTACACTCTTGCAGTTAAGGTATACAAATTTACTTCAACACCCTTCCTTCGCTTGAAGTGAAGTTCAATTCGGAACAGAGTTCTGTTTCAGAGAGGATGCACAACAGCAACTTCTCTAATGAAACGCACCGCAGAATGCGTTGGCCACAGTTGTACTTCACCAGCTTTTACCAGATAGACTGGAACTTTCCAGAGAAGACACCTGAATGAGCTATTCCAGAAGAGCCAAAAAGCTGATGACATCACTTAACATCAAAAATATATTTACTTGATGAAGGGAAAGGAAAGTGACAGCAGCACTGTTCATTAAAAGGAATGGAAAAACCACAAACAGAACTGAGCCATTAGGAAGCAGTATTAGTTCATCTCTTGTACATCTGAAGACAAGTAACAAAGACTTTCCTGTCCTTAATTCAGCATAAAATGGAAGAAAAGAATCTATGTTTCTAACTTCGAGAGCTTAATACATCTTTTATTTCAGAAACAAACAAAAAAATCTTACCAAAATACCAGATGAAGAAAGCAGCAATTGCACAACAAATTACTAGTAAAATGGATAATATAATGACTATGGTTTTCTTTACATCTGAAATGAAAGCAAGGAGAAAAAGAGAAGTTGGATTCACAAGTAAGGTCATTTCCAGACATCAGCACTATCCATTTCATTGACATTAAAAACAGACATTTTTTGCCAGGCGGACTTTTCTCTACTCCACCACCCTTTCTCCAAATCACCCAGGTTCTTGTCCAGTTACACCAGCATCCCAGCCAGCTAATAATTCTTCATCCATGGGGAGGTGGCTCCTTCAATACAGGAGATGGAAGGGAAGATCCTTTTTATTTATCTTACTTTAGAAGACCTTAGGTCTAAACTTGGAAGAAATCCCAACAAAACTTACTTGATGCACATGTTCTTTCAGATGAATGTGCTACTGGCCTACTCGACTGATAGGTAGCAACCCTTGGGACATAGCTTGGCACTGATGGAGCATTTGTTGTGAAGTACTGTGGATATGGGTTAGCACCTGGCTGCCTGGCAGAATAGACGTTTTCTGGCTGAAAGCCATGATTTTCATAATATGGCGGTGGACCCTAAATGAAAACATTGAGGGGAAGATAACAGGAGAAAACGAAAACAAGAGGCAAGGGTGCAATTAGGACAAAGTAAGTTTCAGATCCCATTTACATTCAGAACCCTACTAAGTAATTCTGCCAATGCAGAAATACACCATGCATGCATAGACATACTAGTGACTCTAATTTACATGAAGAAATAGACTTACAGTACATGCCTAGTACCTCACACTTTGAATAATAAAAAGAACAGAATGAGGCTGGAAGGCGTATGAGGAGATCAGTTTCCTGATTCAAAGTAACTCAACCTAAGAAGGATTCTTGAGCCCAGCCCTCCAACCAGCCACACAAACCTTTGCACTGGCACATCTGACAGGGTAGAAATAAGCAGCAAGGACAGTTTTGGGCAGTACCGACATCGAAAGAAATGCTGACAAGTAACAGCCTTTGTGTGTGCAGTTGTCCAAGTCTAAGACACGTGCTGACTACCCCATTTTGTCCTATGACAACATCAGGTATACCTAAGCTACTTCTGAAATGCACTGCCCTACAAAAGGTTGTGGAATATTTATCCTGGAAAAGCTTTAAGAACTAGTTAGAAGCCATTCCAATCTATTCCTCCAAAATAAGCTTTAAAAGCATAAATCTCTCTGAGGAGTATCTGAGCACATGTTAGTTAATTCAAGCTGCTTACACCTTCCCCACAGTGTATCTTTCCTTTTTTGCAGAAAACACAGCAAATACTCCACATTTTAAAAAACTTGTGAACCAGGACATCACTCAATAGGCTGTTACTTGTAAAGAAATAAAATCTCATTTCTTAAAAAAAAAAAGTGTAATATTTTGAATATTTTGTTTACTTACTACAGTAGAGGTCATCTTTCCTTTGTCAGCAGTACCAAAACAATTCAAGTGTTTGGAAGTAAAGCATGAACCTATATAAAAAAAAAAAAAATAAATAAATAAAAGCAACAAACAAACAAACAGAAAACAATCACAACCAGAACTTTTGTCCACCTTTCTTGCTGGTTTTTCCTTTGGAAAAATGCCAAATCTAGGGGGAAAAAAAAAATACGGAAGTATTTCAGGACAGGGTACAAATTAAGGTGCAGCATGCAATCGGATCGCAATAGACTCTCAATACAACCTTGAGGATTATACAGTGGCAACTATTCATTAACACGAGCACCACACAAACTGAGAAGATTAAGTTAGTGCTCACTCTCACTGACAGAATGAGAGTTAAAGAATATCCTGGCAACAACCCACATGGTGTCAGTACCAAGTTCAGGTCCTCCTGCCTCTCTCAACACTTACTCATGTATCGCTCCGAGGTTTATGACACAGAAACGAGAACATGAACAAAGCATCAGGAAATACAAATTCAGCTAACTCATTTGATAACGCCATGGCTAGCAGCCCCACAAGCCACATCTTTTCCACTCTTCTGTGTTGCAAACAGCTGTTTTCTTGGTTGTGTGTTGTAGCCACTATACCAAAAACGGGGAGAGAAGCATGGCAGAGAAACAATATGCCACACCAATACGAAAGTTTTTCAAACAGAGCAAAAGAGAGGAGCTACATCCAATGTTTCAAGCATATAGCAGTTTATTTTACAGTTAAACATTAACATTAAGTAAAACTACAGATTAGCAAAGACACAAGAAACACAAAATGTTTGCTGCTGCAGTTCTAACATAGGCAGCTATACACCTCCACTAGCAATCATTTCAATAAATAATTTAACCTATTGAATCCTCTCATAATGTTACTCTACATGAAAAAAAGCCTAGGAAGTGCCTCAGTCATGCACTGAGAAATGCCTTTCTCCATCTTGCAGAGCAGGACCCTGCACACAGGCACACTGCCATGACCCTTGTTGAAAGCCATGACTATAAAGAGCAGGTACATTAAGACAGCATAATACAGTCCAAAGTATAAGGTTGTGTTTTAGAACCTGTACCAAGGTGTCATCTCACCCAAAACTGAACTACAAATATCTTTGAAGCAGATTTCAACAGCAGTGTGGCACCTTGAGCGTGCCAATACGTTGTGACAGTTTAGGAAGGCTGATTCTCCTATTTGCTTACTAGAGCTAACAAAAAAAAAAAAAGTAAATAATAACGCACTGTTGAACACTTATTTGCATGGCAAACAGGTGAAAAACAAGTCTTACTCCTACTTACGCTAAATCCATCAGATTGGTGACTAAGGCTTCAGGATTTCTGGTTTATGTCGCATCCATTCTTAGACAGCTCTTCACAGCAGAGTCAGGAGGTATAGCTCTGCCCAGACTTAGAGGACAAGTAACAAGTCACAGGAAGATATTTTTGTTCCTTGTTCTCTAAGTAGAAGAGGGGAAAAAAATTATTAGGAATTTTAGTGATAGCATAAAGAAGAATACTAAGTGGTGATTCTGAGGTAAGCCAACAGGTACTACAACTAAAGAAAAACCCAAATATTTCTTACATTATCATTTGAAAGGCTTTACAAATTGCCAGATGACAGTCTTCCTTATTCTTCTTGGGTTTTCTTTTAGGGTTTGTTTTTTCGGTTTGGTTTTTTTTTAATGAATTGAGGAAAAATGTATCTCTCTTGCTTAACTGGTTTTCAACCATCACTCCCAATTTAGTTCTGTTAATCTATTTCCCATCCAGCTTCTAATTAATAACAGTTTTCTGTTTTCACACCATAAAACATAGGAAAGTCATAGGTATATACAGATTTCTATGGTATTACACATATGCATTTGCCAACATATTGAAAACAGATTAAACCAAAACCACTGGGCTCCCGTTAGTTTTCAAATGTTTAAGGCAAAAATCAATATGTAGCATCCAATAATGATATAATCTAGTTTTATTTAACAGGCATCACCAACACACTTCAAATTGTTTTACAAATACGTCAAGGGTACTGCAACAACTTCATAGATAAGGAAGCTGGGTCACGGAGAAACAAACTGACCTGTCAAACACTCTCTACCCTACCAACTAGAGAACTAGAAGAGACTGGTCTGCCTTATCTCAGTCCAAAACTTTGGCCGCTAACTCACCTCACACATCAGATTTAAATAGATCTCACCTAAAAGTATCACAAACTCACTCTGGTGCAGAAGAGTTTAGTGGGAACGCACAACTATCCTTCCCTCCCACTACCAGTCATTCCTCCTGATGTCTGCTGAGCTGTAACAGCACTTTACTGGGTACATGTGAAGAAACAAACCTCAAGAGTCCTTTAAAGTGAGCTGGTGGAGTTAAAGTGCAGAGAGATCCCCAGGCAAGGAAACACAGGGAGCTCACCTCCACAGCAGGCTTGAAGGTATATGAAACAGGGCCCAGGGAGCCAGAGCCTTGCAGGTCGGCTTGCCAACATCTTCTAGCTTTAGAAAAAGTATACCCAAATAATAAAAGGGACCCTTCACTCATATGCAGTCAAGTCCCTGAATTTCAAATCTTCTGTTTGCTACAGTATGGATGGAGCAGAACCAGCACTTGTACCTCCAGCAATACAGAAGGTCTAAAATTGAGTTTGTTTCATAACTGTGAAAGTAAACAAATGACTCTGCTGTTTCTAATGACAGGGATAACAAGAGTAAAAAAGGTATAGCCATCACTGACATAGTATACTGATGAACACAGTGAAACATACTGTCTCACAGCTATTACTTGAAATATCTTACCTTCTTCTCATATATGCCTTAGGAGTGTTATAATTAAAGCTCTGTCATGGGTCATTAAGATTAAATAAATAGATCATTTTTTCCAATAAAAGTTGTCAGAATGAAAAAAAAAAAATAAAAACCCAGATATATTAGATTAATGCAAAACAAATTGAATCCAATAGCTTCTTTTTAGTTTTTCTACGGATTTCTGCAAAGCAATTCCTTATGTTTAAGCAAAAGTTGCAGTAGAGTTGGTCTGTATTTCATGTGATAACTTACTACTTAACTGAATATTGACTTCCTAGACTATTAGTCTTCCAGAGGCTTGTCCTCCTCCACAGCCCAGTGACAGCTGCTCTGTCCCCTGGACAGGAGAAGCAGCAATCACAGAGTCGTGCTGCTCAACTGTAAGTGGTCCTCACTGTCACATCCTCCTAAATCCCTCACCTCACTACTGCGGGGCGAAGGCGAGCCTCCACTGTTGCCTCCCTACAGCAGCACCAGGTCGTAACTCCTTTACACTGTGTATGTTCTTCACTAGCCAGGAACCAGCATCCCAAAAAGACAACAGAAATAACTAAAGGCAAAGAAACCCTAAAGATTGAACCATGATTTTGTTAATGAAACCAGGCGTGATGACTTTTACCCTAGTTCTCCATACAAGAAATAATAATGGTACTTCCTTAGTACACACCATGTCGTAATTGTTAATTATGAGCAGTACCATGCTTTGGAGACATACAGTTCCACAAGTACCACAGGCTGTATCAGTTTCCACAAGCTTTTATATACAGATCACTATGTTGTCTCCATGCCTAAGTCAATAAGGTGGAATAATTACCTTCAGATACCCTAATATATAACACTGAGAATTCAACTTGGCCAATGAAGCCAAAGTTATATTGGTAACAGCATGCTTCCTTCATTTACATATTACTTCATCACATATTTTGTGCTGTTTCCTGAAATAGAAACATCATTAGCTGTTTGCTGAACTCTATGATAGGTACCAACAACTGAAAAAACAAGCAGGAAAAAAAAAAAAAAAAACACAAAAAAACAAAAACAACTAGTTCTTCACAGTTAGACCTATGTAAAACCAATCACACGCACACAAGGATAGAGGGAGAGGATACAACAGTTGGAAGTCAAATGCACGAAGTTCATCTACTAAAAGGAGGAAGCATAAAAGCACTCAAACACTATATGAACACTAACAAGTATCACAGTAAAAAAATCAGCAGTTCCCCTTATCCAGATATTCAGCACATGCAAATGAACAAACTGATAAAACTCATTAAGATACCAAAGGAGTAATTCCAGTGCAAAGCTCAACCTTACAAAAAGGGCAAGCCAACAAATTAAGGCCTTTGTTGATCATGCGAGAAAGGAAGTATGCTTTCTTTTTATATTATTCCCAACCATTTTATGACCACCTAGAAGTTTCAGTAGCATAACCTTAATCACAGTATAACCATGATACAAAAGTGGGGAAGGAAGGGTGGAGGGGCAATAAAAAAAAAAAAAAAAAAAAAAAAAGAGAGAGAGGAAAAAAAGGCAAATAAGTGATTGCAGATTCATTTATAAGATCTTTTCACACATTAGGCAATTCCTGCCTCTGCTACCTGGATAAAAGAAATATGGTCAAGATTCCTGTTCAACAAGCATCACTAAAAATGATAATGACTTGCAAATGACATACAGAAAGGTTAAAAAAGAAATCCAGTTATGTATGAAAAAGTAAAGGAACTAAGTAAGAATTTTCTTCTCATTTCTTTAACAAGATTTCCTTGATACTTCTTCAGGAAGTAGTACTGAATACGTTTATTGCAATGATTAAAAAAAGTTAAAGTAATTTATTTCACAGGGTAAAACTTATCTTCTGGAAGGGGTCAAAAACAAATTAACAAGCAACTGAATGTCTCAAAGTCATCAAAATCGGGTTCTTCCAATGTCCTGGTCTTTCAGGTAACCTTCTCAGCAGAGGTCAGCTCTACTCTGTGTGCCTATGCAGTAACATGACACAGCCTGCAGAGAACCATACCACGCCGTGTAAATATTTATATGAAAGGTTGCCACAAATAAAGCCTTGGCATTCTTAGATTTCCTAAGAAATAGCTTTGAAGCTATTCTAGATTAGCTCCTAAAATCAACCTGATCAAGAGGTGTCAAAAAACAGTGCCTCCTGAGAAGCTCAAGTAAAGTCCACGACAGCGTTCCCAAGGCCAGCAAACCAAGATTAATACTACTCTCACATGCAAAAACAGGCATTAAAAAGCCCTGAGCCTAGCAGTCTCATTTTAAAGTTACAGGATGCTACATTAATACCAGAAATAATCATCTATTTGTATTATCTGAAAACAGATGTTACCATGAAACTCAGCCTATCACAAGTACATCACATGCCTTTGTTAGGAATGGTGAGGTGGGAAAGGAGGCTGAAAGTTGTTATCTAGCTGAGTGGATGATGGGTGGCAGAAGACACTACCAAAAAAAAAAAAAAAAAAAAAAAAAAAAACAAGCAAACAAACAAACAAAAAAAAAAAACACAAAAATAACAAACAAACCATTTCTGAAATAGGAAGGACCAAGAGCCCAGAAGAACCAGATTTGCTGGCATGGTAGGAGATGGACTTATCGGTCAGGGAACAACCGCAGAGGCAGCTATTGCCTGCAGCACCCACCACCTCTGTGCACAGATCACAGTGTTGCCAGCAGATGCAGCAACAGCTAGTCTGGCATTTGGATGTTTTCTTCTTCCGCTACACTACATCCCTGGTTCTGCCTCTGTCCTTCTCCTTTCATGGCAGAAGCAAATAATCTCTTCTTCTGGCAATAAAATTCAAGTCTCTGTCAATGGCACTGAAAGTCTCTGGCAAGGAAAAAAGCTCTCAATAATACTTGTTTACCATATTTAAGTTGCAAATTAATATTGTATGAATCTGGTACCCAGTAGGCACCCACTCTGCAGAAAAACATAAATTAGCAATGTTAGCAAACCAGACCTATTTAGGTATTTTCAACCTGCACACTACAGACCCTTAAGAGCTGTAAACCACTTCCAAGGGGTCTATGGCAGATAAGAAAGAAAAGCAAGTCTGCTGGCAGGAGGTTTGAATTCACTCCACGGGGAGGCTTCTATTGCCAGAGACAGGTTTAGGGATCCACACATCAAAGACATCAGAGAAGTACTGATGTAGTGACACAGACACAGCTGAGCTACCTTCACAGTACTGAAACTACTCAGTGTGGACCAACCCTTGACTGACAGAGGAAGAAGAGCCTCCATCTCCAGGAGCGGCAACTCCAGGAGAAATATTTTGACCAGCATCCTAGAAAACTCTTTCGTTTTGTTTATCCATCAACATCCAAAAACATCGTTTCAACTTATTTCCATTTTCAGGCTAAGCTACCATGACAAATCTGCTCTAGGCTGATTTTCCTACGTACCAGTACAATTTTTAACAGCTGAAGAAAGGGAAAAGGGAAAAAAGACATGTTTTGTCCTACTTTGGCATGAAATTTTATCTCAATCCACCTGTCCATTGTCTTTACATTTACGTTGATATTCATAACTAACCGCCACAACTGCAATAATTTCCCAGTTTCATTAATCTGTGCCACACACCATGTCCGTCTGTCTCTTCCCCCACCTGACACTGCCTTAGCTGATGCAAATCATTCTTCGGAGGTGAAGCTGCTTCCTCTGACTCTTTCAAAAGCGCTAAAGGCATCAGTGTCACTTTACTCAGGGCAAACAGGGATACTCAGGACAAAGGCACAATGTGAGAACGGTATCTCTTAAATTCACCGACACCCACCCACCCACCCAGAAACCTGAGGTGAAATTCGAGGTCCAGGTAGGCTATGATCATCAGTAAAGCCACCTGCGGGGAGGTGCGGAGTGGGGTTGGTTTCTGCATTCAGAGCTTTGGCCCAGAAATTTCAACGATAGGGCTGCTCCTGTGGGAAGGCACTCTGTCGACACAGTTACTCTGCCAAAGACACCTGACGAGTTGTGGCAACCGTAACCAGAAATCTGCGCTTCTGCAAGAAACTACAGCCGCGGTGACATGAATACGCCACGGAGAGGCCCCAGAACCAGGTGCTGCTCTAGCCGCTTCTCCCTGGGAGCGACTTCTCGCTCCGTGACCTTGAAAAAGCGGCCTGATCCCCCCCATCGCCCCGGCGAGGCACGGCCAGCCCCACCTCGGGAAGAACGAGCTGGGACAGCGCTGGCGGACGGGGGGGGGGGGGGGAAGGGAGCGCTCCCCACCTTTCCTCCTCCCCTTCGTCGGGTCGCGGTTATTCGCATCACAGCCCCCCGTTCCCCTCTTCGGGGCTAGGCGACCTCCCGCCTCGCCGTACCCACCGATCCGCGGCGAAGCGCAACTTTTTCGCGCTGCACCTACCGGTAGAGAAACCGGCTGCAGAAAGGGAGCAAACCGGGTAAAACGGGGGGGAAACACCGCTGGCAAGGGCGACCTTACCTGCCTCCCCCCCCCCCCACTTTATCAGCCGCCGCTGCCCGCAGCCCCGGGGAGCGCCCGCGGGGCTCTCCGCGGGACGGGGATTTTCCGATGCCTCCCGCCGTCCCTCCGCACCCCCACCCCAAAAACAAAGCCGAAGATCCTTAATTAAAAGCCCAAAACCATAAGGCGCAACTCGGAGCGGCCGTGCCGTGCCCCCCCCCGGGGCGGCGGCGGCGCCCCCCGGCCCTGGGGGCGGTTGGGGGGGGGGGGGGGGAACCGCCCGGCGCCGGAGGCGGCTCCGCTGACCCCGGGAAGGGCCCGTGCGGGACGGAGGGGCCGCGGCCGGGCCGGGCCGGGCGGTGGGGAGCGCCGAGCTTACCTGGGGCGGCCCCCGCCGCAGCGGAGCGGGGACGGGACGGGACGGGACGCAGCAAGCCGGGAGCAGCCGCTGCGGCCGGGGAGGAGTTACCCGGCGGGGAGGGGGCAGGGGCCGGGGCCGGGGCCGCCAGGTGGATGCGTCGCCCGGCCCCTTCCTCCCGCCGCCGCCGGGGAGGGAGGAGGGCGCTGCCCGCCCGGCTCACCCCGCCGCGGGGCTGGCCCGGGGGCGGGAGCGGCGCCCACCAGCCTTGGGGGGGGGGGGGGGCCCGTCCCTGCTGTGCCGCCGCCGGGGGGCCGGGCAGCCCGTCGTGCTCGGTGGGGGCCGAGCAGCCGCCCCCAGCCAGAACGCACCGGTCCGGGGCTCCCCTTTTCCCCTTCCCCCCCCAGCCCTCCTCCTCTCACGGACGTTTGCAAGACAAACAAGCTGGCGGGAAGCAAAGGGACCCCCCCCGGGTTCCTCTCGGTGTCAGCCCCCCCCCCCGGGGGGCGGCCCTGCCCCAGGCTTTGCTTTTGCTGCTCCAGCCTAAGCGGGCTGGGGTGAGGGGCCCGTGCCTTTTTTGAACGGACACATCAGTCTTTCTTAGCTTTGCAGGGTGTTGTATGCAAATAGAAAGCCACAACGCTTTCCTGAACAGGGCAGGTCAGGAGATGATAAGGACTGCTCATAAAATACCCAGCCCAGGGAAATAACTTCCTTTTTCTTTTGCCTTTTAGGGCCATTTAATAAAGGGGCACTCTGAAAAATTACTGCAATCTCAAACATCACGTTACTTACAATGCTCTAGTGCCTTGCGGTAACTCTCCTGTAAAGCAGATCTACAAGTGAGTGAGATGTTGTTCTGCCAAAGCTGACCGCCACTGCAAAAAAATCCACATATCCCAAAACCTCAGAGTACCACTGGAAAAGTTCATAGGTGTTTGAAGAAATTCCTCTCACTTTTAATAACAGCTCCAAATTCGCTACAGTATTGCTGCGTGCTATGCTTAACTTCTCTGTACAGAGCCTACAGATAAGGCAAAGTATGCAAGTTTGGCATGGTAAGTGTTTGGGGTTTGTTTGTATTTTCCAACGCATATCAAGGACTTTCATCATGTGCACCAAGAAGCCAAGATCATACCTTCAGTATTTTTCCAGCTCTATACGTTTATTCAAAGAGAACTATGTATCTTATGTATCTTCAGACCCTTTAGAATAAAAGCATACAGAAACATCTTTAAACTTTAGCTTAGGCTTTTCAGCTGAACCTTTTTGTAGGGCTCTTTCTATTCATGCTCTCCCAAAAAGTATCGGTGAGATTCAGTAATTTTCCAGTATGGATTCAGGTGCAGGAAATGGACCTCAAATTTCAGCTGAAGCAAAATGTAAAATCATCCCAAGTCGTGACCAAAATGCACTGCAATGTCACCTTCTGTGGTACTCCAACGTGTCCACCTGTGTGGCATGTCCTTGTCTTTAATCTACAGTAATTTAGTGGCCTTCAGACCTTACGTGTATTTTAGGTTTGAAGCAGGGTATCTAGTCATAAGGCTTCCTTGTTAAGTTTTCTTACCAAGACAGAGGGAAATGGCCCTGCAAATTGTCACTTGGCATCATGGCCACAAGGAGAGAGGACCACATGATCATCAAGGAGAGATCCCTCAAGATCTGTTCTGCTCTACAGGAGAACACGAACATTTCTCTACTTTGGAAATTCGTATCTTTTTTTCTTTGCAAGTAATTTGGAGTCTATGTACTCCTGTGTACTGATGATGTCTAGTTCCTCTCTCAAGACAAAGCTCACTTAGTTATTAGGATACCTCACAATTTGTGTTTTAAAAAGGTATTTCTTTTGAGTTTAAAAATATCCCGGATCTCACTTTGGATTTGTCCAAATGTCTTGCACAATAGCTACAGATAAGGAGAAAGGGAAATGTAAAATACCGGGGGGAAAAAAAAAATAACAACAACCAAACAACAAAAAACTGGAACAGTCTGGTTCCCCTGTGAGCTGAAATTGTCCTTATGTAGCCACTTCTAAGGTATTGCATCGATTCGGGTGTTAAAATTGGGCAGAAGGACACGGTAACAGGTAACAAATACAGTGTGCTGAGGAGCGGTGTGCTCCTCTGCCAGAGAAGTTTTAAACTCCTCAGGATGACCCGCGTTGCTTTGTGTATCACGAAACAATACGGGGGGGTGGGGGGAGGGAATTCCGCATAACCCAGCAGCTCGCTGATTACCCCTATTAACACCTTTTCTTCTCAGAGAGGGCTGAGCTGGTCAGTGCACAGTGCATTCCCACCCTCTTTCCCCCAGCTCTTCCCTCCCTTCCTTCAGGCTGGCTCACTGATGGGTTGGCCTTTCAGATCTCTAGCGTGGTAAAACCTTTTTTTTTTTTTTTTTTTTTTTTTTTTTAAACTGGGTTAATATTCCCCAAGTTTAACCCAGTTTGCTAACAAAGGTCAAAGGAATAGGAGAGCCGGAGCAGCTGAGGTGGGGAGGGGGACACTGCCTCCTCTAGGCAGCAGAAGCTGCCAGGTCTGTTCAGCTTGTCTTTTCTAGTGGAGGACTGAGCTCGTGGCCCTGTAATCTCTTCCAAAGTAGTTGTACGTACGTATTGCTGCTGCGTTTTAATTATGCAAGCTGGCTTTTGCAGAGCAGGATGCTGAGTGTTCACGTTGTGCGTGGATTATATGCAACCTTTAAAGGGGAGATCGGGGCAGGGTTTGGTTTTTCCGAGTGGCTGTGTGCTCCGGGAGGGCCAGGCAAGTCCACGGCTGGAGAGGGACTTTATCTCACTGAGGAGCCCCGACTTCACTGTCCGCAATTCCAGGTGTCTGAGAGCTTCGACATCACCCAGCCTAACGCTGCTCATCTCAGCACTTACTCCAGACAATTTGCACTTAAATATTAGTAGTTAAATGTTCAGTGAACCACTTCCTTGTCTGTATTCATGCACGCGTGGGACACGGGAAGGATGCCTGGATGTTTCCTTTTGTTTTTTTACAGGCACACAAGGTAACATTTCTGTAGACTGGTGCTAAGCATCTGAGTTTCAGGAGGTAAAATAAACTGACCTTTTTAAGTGTCTGGCATCGCCTACCATTGTACATCCTACTACATGATACCTTTGGCTACCTATAACACCTTCTTTACTCAGTTCTTAAGGTAGCTCTGCCCACTCCTTAATCATAACTCCCTTTGTGTCTGTGGTACTGTGTCATGGCAGTTCATTTCCTACTCTGTTAATGCCCAACGTGTCTTTTGCTCCATTGTCTTTCGTACCTCTGAAGTTTTGCCTCCGTTTCTAGCGTCTAATCAAAAATCCAGGAGCGTGGGAGATAAGGTCTCTCTAAAGCCAAACTGCAGAGTACTTACTCAAAGCATGTCAGGATAAGCTTGCCTTTACCACTTTGGGACTACAGCACAGGACTTCCTTTTACCACACCAATAGAATTAGAATTAGAGGTGTCTCCAGGGAAATTCAGTGCTAAAGCCCACAACTGGGGAAAAAAACCAACCAACCAACCAAACAAACAAACAAAAACACAAAACAAACACCAAAAAGCCCCCACCAGCCCCAAAACATTCAGAGTTGGAACTGGCTCACCCAATTCAACACCTTCTTTGTTTTCACAACCCAGCTTTAAGCACCAGGTATCTAGTTATGCCCTACTGTCATGGAGTCCTCAATTAATTTTTTTGCATGGGCGCCATGAGTGAGAGCTCTATGGTTGTTGATACTTTACAACAGACACTACAGTTATGCACTCACCCATAAAACTACATCAAACCCGGGAACTTAATTAGTCATTTAGTAACTAAGCTTAAGCTAAATGTATGTTGACTTTGGAAGTACATTTGCATCTGCTGGTACTACCAAGAATACACAGACATAAATTTACCCACTGGAGGTATATTTGAAAATCAAAATAAATGGGCAGAGATCTTCAAAAATAATATTTGTTTCTAACTTTTGAATGCCTGTGAAACAAGTTGTAGTCCTTTGTTAGGGTATTATCTAAATATGCTGAAAACCCACAACTCCTTGAACCAATTACCCTGTTATCTAGGAACTAAGAGAGGGTCTCACGCGCCTGCAGATTAGAAAGGTGTGTCCCTGTGAACATTCTCACTTCTTTCCCAGTCAGAAACTTTTTTAGGAGTTTCAAGCCCTACACACATGGAGAAAAAGAAAATTGCTCTTCTTAGCTCTCTTTTTTTTTTTACTTTTTATTTTTCCTTACAGTTTAGGTTTTTATTATAGAGACATAGAAAGTCTCAGAGTTATGAAATTCTTTGCTCTTTCCCAGAGGGTAGAAACTGTCAGGAATAATAAGTGACCTTAACTTTCCTTTAGGTACATGTTGTTTCAATAGATTTCTTGTCTGTTACTGTAAAACAAGAGAGAATAAAAATTAAAATAGTGCTTGTTGTTGGATTTTTCTGGGTGTACTATGTAAATACAGCTGCATATATTCTGGCCTACAAATTTTACCTGCTAGCTACATTAAAATAATTCTACTCTTGTGGCACAGGAATTGAATGACAACTTTATTGTATGATTTTTTCTTTATATTTGGCTTTTTTTTTGTTTTTCACTGATCTGCTTGTTAGCTTTGTCTTGCGCTTGTAACACAAAGCAGCCATAAATCCAAACTACTCAGCCAGTTAAACCAGGTTTATAGTTACTCTTGTGCCAGCAAACAGGCCTGAAGCTACTACAATGCATCAGTGAATATGGGTTTCGATGTAGACTGATCTCACTGTTCTTATAAAAAAAAAAAATCCACAAATACATTTTGACTTACATTTTAAAATATTTATTATTAATTTGAAAAAGGAAAATTACTCAATTCTTATGCAATTGACTTTAAACAGTATCACAGAACTGTGTTTTAGTAAATATTAGAATCAAATATACTTAGTTTTACTGATGTATACAGAAAAGTACTGATTGGGAAAATAAAAAGAAACAAACCACAGTAAATCTTGAATGAAGATTTTTATTTTTTTTTCTTCTCTAGTTAGAAACCAGAAGTGGTTTGGATCCAAATGTAATCTTGCACAAAACTGACATTGATTTAGTGGAGCCAGATCTTCTCAACTGATCATTTAATTATAACCTGTTCTGAAAACATTAAATTTT